TAAGAGACATCGTCGAGCTTCTCCGCGACATTCAGCAAGGCATTGCCCAGAAGCTTGAGCTGGTTGGGTCGAATGCCACGAATCATTACGAGAAAGTCGGCTTCTGCACGAGACATCTTGACTTTGCGAGGAGTCGTAAGGCTTGGGGTGCTGGTGCGCTTACCCTCCTTATCTTGTATAGTTAGCTACACATTCGAGAAGTGTACTTATAGTTGCGTAAACTTACAGAAGGTGCACTTGCTCGCACCACTGTTGTAGTGGCAGTTGCTGCAAGCACCGCCCTGTACAAGCTGGATACACTTCGTAAAGGGACCGTTACCCTTCATACAGCCAGCGCAGACAGCCGCACCCTCCTTCACGTCTCCGTACACATGAATGAGGATAGCCTCAGCGTTCTGCGAACGCTTGGGATCAAGCTTGCGGAAGCGCATGACCCCGTCGCTGATCTGGGAGCGAAGCTCGACCATGTTGTTGGCCTAGATATTATGTAAGAAAGTGTGTAGCTCCTGGAACGGGTTATATGGATCACGTACCTTGGACTGGCTCTTGGTTAGGTGCGTGAGGGTAGCTGAACCAGCGTTCTTAACTGCAACTAGTCGTATATATGAGTACAGTTCTGTAATACGTGAATGTTATTACATACTGGCAAGAGCGAACGCAGTGACCTGCTTTGGCTCAGCAGGGTACGCTGGAAGCGTAGTAGGAAGTTTCTTGCCCTTAGGCAATTGTACATTACCGATCTCTTCGGGGATGAGGCTCATGGTGACGTGCAGGGCTGTGTGCGGGTGTACGAGAGCGTGCGCATGTGTAGAAAAAAGTGAATGTTTTTGTGAAGAAATTGTCGCTTATGTTTACGTACTGCTGGATACGTATGGATGTGTCCTGAAATTCACAGAAGTCAGCTGAGGTCTGGAAAAAAAAAAGATGCAGTAGCTTAGCAGGCGCAGCAGCGCAACTGCCTATGCAACCGCCCGCGTGGAAAAGAGCAGCATATGAATCGCCTTAGCCTGGGGATTAGATGTAATGTATTAGATTTAGGGCATATAGAATGGATTATATTATCTATTGGGCAAAAGTTGGGGTTACTTACAAAAAGTTGAGTAGGCGTAGGGAAAAGAAGGCTATTGCAATGCCCAGCAGAAGCCTTCGTTAGATGCAGCGGAACTAGTCAGGCGGTGTGCAACGTCACATCACGTGAAGGAGGAATTGGGCCAATTATATCGCAGGGATCTGGCCGGCTAGATAACCGGGGGCACCTGCCCCATTTGCAGCGAATCAAAATAGTAGGTCTAAGTAATATTTATGATGTAGTATGTATTAATACGGGAGTTACCTTTGCGGCAGGAGGGGTATGTGCAGCACCTTCTGGGTTTTGGCGGAGTTGTCCCTGCAGGCTGCCGTACTATCTCACGAGGCTATCGTGAGATCAGAGTTTTAGCTTGGCCGTCGCTTGGCCGAGGATTCGCCGAGGGCTCAGCCACAGGGTGTGGCTGGGCCAATTCGGCGAGCGTGCGGCGCCCCCTTACAGGTACTTATACCCTAGACGGCGCGAATCGTAATGAGGGCGCTTGTATCCCATCGGGTGCTGATGGACAGCACTTTCGCCAAGACCATGAAATACCCACTATGTATCCACTATTACCCCGCATTTAAAGGGGTACTTGACGATACGTCACTCATCCCTATGCTCTTTTGCCTAACGTGGTTGATAAGCGAGTGGATCAGACAAGCGAGTGGATCAGCCGACCGCGACCACAGCACATTTGCGACCGATACGCAGCACTAAGAAAAGTAATTCAATTGAAACTATTTAAGATCCTCTTCTTCAGACATTTCTTCAGCAAATTGACATGTTCGTGCATTATGACCAGTGTTCCCACAGACGCCACATCGCCGTTGGCCCGTCTCGGTCCTCGGTCGGCGACCACTACTCCGGCCTGTTTCCTCCTCGATCTGAGCTGTTGCTTCTCTCTGCGACTGAAGGTCCTCAGCCTCAGCTATAGTAAGACTTCCTCCTTGTCTGAGACGTGTTTTCTTAGCCCTCCGGCGCCGGCTTAGTAGGTTGTTTTCCTCACGAAGGATTTTGTTCTCAGACCTTAATAACGCAATCTGGTGCATAAATCCACGCGCCCCCTTTGATAGATGCTCAACAGCTTCAATAATTGAAGTTGGTGAGCTATTCTGATGGCGGGAGATCCTCCTTTTGATGAGTTCAGACTGAGAAGATGCTTCTGTTGGGTTGTTTGGCGTCTGAGAAGTCCACGCAGGGGGTGTTGTTGGGAGGGATCCTGGAGGTGTTGGAGTGTGTAACCTGATATCAAGCTTTGAAAGCACACTTTCGGCACTCAAAGGGACAAGCCCAGCCCCTCTGAAACCTCCCTGAATGTTCTTTTCCGTAATAGCTTGGGCAAAAGCCTCGCGAAACGCAGGGAAGAAGTCTTCCTTTGTAATATGCGTATTACCCCGGCGCATCTTATCCTCAATTTGTCGACCATAAGCCGTCTTTAGTGGCCCAAAGCACCCAACGTCTAAGGGCTGAAGCAGATGAGACGAATGGGCCGGCATACAGAGTGTGACGATATTGTTTTCCTTGCAATATATCTCGAAGTCGGCAGCGTGGTGACTTTCATGCCCATCGACGACGAGGAGGCGATAACTGCCAGTTGCACGCAGTTTTGTATGCCGATCAAAGTGCTGGAGCCAATCTAGGCCTCTTTCGTTTGTTGTCCATCCGTTGTCAGACGTTGCAATGACCCAGTCGCGTGGGAGATTGGTTTCCGTGTACCAGGTGGAGAGGTGATATTGGCCTGCAACGATGATATACGGCGGGACGCTGTAGCCCGACGAACTAATGGCCTGAATGACTGTAACCCATTCACGGTCACCAGGCTGGATCATTTTCGTGTTTGAACGCCTTTCGGCGCTCGTGGCGACCATCCCAGATGCAATCTGGCCCATCATAAACCCAGTCTCATCAAAGTTATAGATATCAGAGTCCACAATACCATATTTCGCGATTGTGTTCGCCACAAGGCGAAACCACGCGTTTATGGCGTTTGGATCTTCGCATTGGGCCCTCTTGTAGTCGTACTTGCGAAAAAAGCGCGTCTGGAGCTGTGGTTGTCGCTTGACGAAGTTCGAAGCCCAGCGCTTCCCAACTGGGGGCGCGTTGCGGTCGGCGAGCAGTCGATTAGCCATTTCTTCCACACCTCTAATGCGGGGAGGGAATGATCGGGAATCTAGGTCGAGAATATACTCAACTAGCTTCTCTTCTTCAAGCGTAGTCAAATTCCGCGATCTAGGCATAGTGTCGCGTCGTGATAACTTTCCCCTTAGACGATGGCGTAAGGTTGAGAAGGGTACTGAGTAGATCCGGGATGCCGCTCGGATACTAAGATTTGGTGTCGTTTTGATAGCCTGAACCGCTAAGGTTAGCTGGCCTTCATTACTTTGTGATGACATGCTTGATTGTGGCGTAACGCCTATGAAGGGTGGAAGATATGTTGGTCGCGGTCGGCTGATCCACTCGCTTGTCTGATCCACTCGCTTATCAACCACGTTATTATTATCACTATTATTACCATTTTGATTGATACTGTGATGTCTTCTGGTGATTCTGATACCTCTATTGCATCTAATGTTTCTATTACTTCTATACGCAGCTGTATAGTAGTTGAGGTCCACCCAGAAGACCTTACTGCTGCCTGTAATACAGACTGTACGCCCGAGCGCTGTGACGCAGCTACAGTCCGGCCCCACGAACCTCCGGCAACTCAGCATGTTCCTCCGGGCTCCTTCCGACCCTTCAACGTGCCGGCCCGGGCCCAAGAGATACGGGGGCTGCCGGCAAGCCCGCTTGAACTGTTCCTCCAATACGTCCCGCAGAGCCTCGTAGAGCAGTGGGCCCAGTGGACGAATACAGCACCGTTGTCTAGGGAGGGCCCTAGGGCTAGACGGGCTACAGACAAAAGGAATACCTCTATTCCATGGGAACAGCATAGGAAGGGATCAAGAAAGGTATCTTAACCTTGTACCTATTGTGGTAATAGGAAGGCTTTAAAGGAGATATCTGGGAATGCCATCGCTCGGCAACGACGGCAGACAACTCGAAAGGGCTGCTTAGATTGTAATGTACCGTTATGTATTAGCAAAGATTGCTGGTACCTCTGGCACAACCAAAATTAATAGGAAATAGAGGTACTGCAGCCCTATTGGTTAACTTAATAGATTTGCAAGCCCTTATTGGCTCTACCCCGCCCTTGGCGAAAGTGCTGTCCATCAGCACCCGATGGGATAGGGTGCGAGAGCGTAAAGTAAGCCTCTGGTCATAAAGATGGATAGGGCTAGTGAAATAATGGGCTTCTTGCTTTAAAGGTCTGCGACGGAGCCCTATACCGGCGTTACGACCGTGAATCCGAGGATGAAGGCGGAACCGACCTAGATATAGCCGGCGATTGACTGGAGGGATGCCATGATATTGGAAACGGCGGTGGTTATAATGGTTAGGTCTAGAGCGGGGAGGGCTGCCGACAGACACAGCGATGCGATAGTGAACGTGATTGTAGTTCCCGAGAGCTCCGGAATGCCCGCATTGGTAACGCCGTTAGATGGCATATCGGCGATACAAGCATCGCTGAGAGCTCCGTGGTCTGGCGATCGACCGGGGCCATCGGGCCAATTGCCTTACCTAACAGAGCGTGATTCTGACGGGTCGTCATGTCCTCCTTTGGCCACTGCATCTAATCGCGTGGGCGTTGAGATTCAAATCGTATCGCTATCAGCCTCCACGGGATAAATTGCCGCAAGTCTTGAAGACATATTGGAGTTGTAGACAAGGCCAATTGACAAACGCAGTCGCCGTGATATCCAGACGGAGTGGGCTTGATGTTGTGCTAGGCATATAGCTTTGGCGAAGTTGTACATGTAGGATGTTAGGCCGCGCGCGGGAATGAGGTGGTGTGATAGCTCTCTGACATTTCGGCCCGGAAGATCATTTAAACATGAGAGTTATACGGAATCTGCCGTACACGTCCGAGGAGTACGTATGTAAGCATTGGCGTGCTGAGGATTGCTGACAAGCCTTTGCTGACAGTCACATTTGGCCTGTTAAGGGATTTGTCTTGGCGGCTGACTTGCTCGGTCCATTAGGTGCCCGGATACAATGAGGCACAGAGTACCCAGGCTAGAAGTCAGAGCACAACGCAGTAAGTACTTCGGAAGCTGGGATCATCGTCTCACTTCGCGGTCAAATTCAAGATCGGTCGTTGACGTCCATTGCGAGAGACTGAAGCATTGGACGTGCTCCTCATTCTTCGCTACATTACTGTCTCACGACGTCTTGGTGGAGGCATCCAACTCCACCCGAAGCTAATACTTTGAGCCGTTGTCTCATTCTCGTGAGAGTCTAGATGTCCATCTATGTGAATGCGTATGAGTGTGTCCTGTTTCAGAGCCGATTTGTCTCAATGGAGTCTGGCTGTGAAGTCTCATGAAATCGCGAAAACGTCCCATCGGGTCGCTGCTGTGTCAGACGGTGGACAGGATCGAAAGACAAACCGCTCAGTACAAACGACATGAATTCTTTTATCAACATAGTAGGTTTGAGTCATGATCGCAGAGGAAGGTCACTGAAGTCAGCTAATTTAAATCCCAATTCGAACCTAAACATAATCGTTTCGAATCCCAGAAGAAAGATCCCCTTACTACGTCTACAATTTGCTTTGCTAGATACCATCTAGATGGTAGCGAAGGGAGAACCAAACAAAATAGACACGTAATAAGCAAGCCAAGTAATACAGGAACCGAGACTGTTCTACCTAGGTCATCAAAAATTCAGGTGAGCATGTGTGAGTACGGGGGACGTAATTGCCCGTCTCCTGTGTGTCGAAAACTATTGTGGCACCAAGTCATGCCGTCTCGGGTCATTTCAATGAGGACATGGGATTAGTCTTTCAAACGTACTGCCCTCCGATGAAGAATGCCAGTTCTTGTTCCAATTCTTGATCCCCATTTTTGAACATGAGGATGCTTCTCAACAATGGCTCCGGAAGGCCGACTTTGAACACCTTGGCTAGAGCCTGTGTACCTCACGAGCGACTCTCGTCAAGGTATACACACAACCGGTACCATGCCAACAGAGTACGGCGACCTTGAAATAGCACATCCTATCAAGGAGGAGAATCACTCCGGGCAGCAACATCACCAGGGCCAAGTCAATGCCCATGAGCTTGCCTCATGCAACCAGCATCCTCTCCAAGATCACGTCACCTCTGAAGGCGGATTACGAGTTTGTGGCATCAGGTAAGTGACATTCTGGGTCGGGCACGCAGCTGCAGGCTGCAGCCTTCTTGTTGGGCGCAATTGCAGCGGCAGTAGTTGCCGGAATGCCAACCAAGGCGCTCAAACAAACAAGACATGATTGCAAAGCGTAAGTATGCTAAACTATTTCTATCTAAATCATCATGCAAGACTGATTGATATATACTAGGTTGAAAGCATCGTTATCGTCTTTATATCTGGTTCTAACATCCCTAAGCGCTATATCTTCAACCTCACTTGCAACATCCACCATTACATCGATTCCACTACCAGTCAGGGCTTTGTCGGTTCATGGAGGGGTCACAACCAACTGCCCTTATCTCAATGATAAGAACAACACATACATGGCGCGTGACTCAAACATCAAGTTCGAGCAGGAGTGTGGAACAAATTATCCAGGCGACGACTTGAAGCAGATACCGCTTACGACGATAGAGGATTGCCCGGACCTTTGCGCTGCGTTAGTGTCACTTGGAAGACAGGAGACAAGCAGGGTGCATAATCGAACTACTGCTGGCTGAAGTACGTCAAGGCTGCGGCAGTGGCCAATGTGCACGTCGAGGCGGCATGGATATTGGACTGACGAAAGAACCATCACAAAGTTCTAACTTGCCTATTTAAAACATTTACATCACTTCCATTTAACCTTTTTAAGAAAACGAAACATATAACTAACTGTTATAAGCAAAATACCGCTATAGACAATTATCCATATGTCCATACTTTCGTTCTACGTCCCCAACACGCATCCAGGACCTTGAAGCGATAGCCCGTAAACAGACTAATGACCGGGGCCTTTTTTAAACCTCGCCGTTCAGCAATATGGTTACTTATGGCGGGCTGCCAGTTTTAACACATTCGCCAGCTCAAACCGCGTTCAAAGACGCCAAAGGCTCCGTCAGACCGAGCTTAGCTGCCTTGCTGGATGCCTCTGTGAGTAAGGGCTCGTCAAGCGGAGTCGCCAGGTCCACGTCTGTAGCGCTGCTGGCATCACTTGCAGTTTCGAAAGGTCTGTACAGAGCCTCGGCAATGTGGGCCTTGGCCAGTCCATCGGCTAAAGGAAAGAAGGAAGGTCAGTTCACTGCGTCTCGAAAGCAGGGCAAAATCATGAAGTAAACATACATCCGTAAGTGAGCTCGATGGGGACGGTTGAGTCAAGACCCCGCGTTCTCCTGATGTGGGAGATGTAAGCGGCGCTCATGATGTAGGCGGGGATGGCGTGATCCGCCAAGTTGGAGGTGAGCTCAGGAAGAGTCTTTTTGTCGTGGAGGAAGTCCACAGCCTCCCACAAGATTCCGCGCTTGACGTTCTCGGAATAGATGCCGGGCATAGCGGTGTTGTAGCGGCGGTCGAGGTCGGCGACGGTGAAGGTCTTCAGGGGAGCCTCGTCGCCGGTGATGTCGTGGTTGCGGAAGACGTGGACCTCGAAGTGGTTGTCGGTGCCGATCTCGCCGGTGCTGGGCTTGGAGCGGTCGTGCTTGTCGTTGGCCTGACGGGAGTCGATAACGATGGTCTGCAGAGGGCCGCTGCGGATCTCGTGGGCCTCATGCTTGACTCTTCCGTTGCCCTTGTACAGGTCAGCGCCGGGCTGCAGCCAGCTGCGGCGGGAAAAGCCATTGTGAAGGAGGTTGATCTGGGCGATAGCGATGGCGTGACCCCCTCGAGAGAATGTGACTTGGATGGAAGCGTCGATCTCTCCCATGTCGGCCATGAGCTTCATCAGCTCCTCATCGGTGTACTTCTTCCACTTGGCGTACTCCTCCTTTCCAAAGATGTGGTCGTAGTCGTCCTCGTTCAAGGTGGTGACGAAACCAGCGGGGAGTACAAAGCTGCTGGAAATCTCCATCTTGTCGGGGCGCTTGGTGTCGGACCAGCCGGATCGCATAAAGTTGTAAATCATGTCAAAGAAGTGGTAGCCGCTGTGAGAAACCTTGCCGTAGCCTGTACGGTAGGGGTGGTAAGGCTCGTCCACGATCTCTGAAGGCATGCGCCATTTGCCATCGCAATGTGTTGAGATGATGTTCGTCACGGGACATCTGGTCTTCTCCTGAATCTCCTTGATCATGCCGAAGGTGCAGTAAAATCCAGGGTGGTAGCGGCGATGGCTGTTCATCTGGAAGAATGTTGGCTTCTGGCCTTGAGCGATCTGTCGCTTTCGGAGCTCTTCGTAGGCATCGGCAAGATCCTGGTAGTCCTCGGCAATTCCGAAGGCGGCATCGAAGTCGGTGACTGCGCCGTTCCTAGTCGAGATAGGCTTGTCCATGATGATGTTCAAACCAGCGGAAACAGCCCAAAGACCATATGACTTGTGGGCAAGAGGCTCGGTGCTGATGACCGCGCAGGTCACTCCAGTTCGCGCCACAACTTCGTTCAAGCGCGCGGCGACGTCGACAGGCATGGGTCCGTCGTAGCCCGGGACCAGAACCAGCTCTGCATCCGGAGCCATTCCCTTGGTGAACAAGAGGTCTTCCACTCTGTCCTTGCATCGCTCGATATCGACAACAACTTTGAGATAGGCCCTGCCCTCTTCGCGAAGAGTCTTGAGATGGGGAATATAAGTTCTCTTGGCGTGAGCTCCAGCACCGACCAGAAGGAACTTCTCCATGGCAGGCTCGGGAGTGGCCGCGATTTCAGTTGAGTTGGTGGCCGTCATCTTGAGTTGTGTTGTGATGTACTACACTTCAATTAATATTTGCGAGTCTAATCTGAAGGCCAACCTGATGAAGTTGTACAAAGGATGATAGGAATGAATCTCAGAACAAACATGTAATTCGGTTGAAGACAGCGAGCTTCCTTTAATGAAATTGGAGATGGCTTAGGACAACTGACTAGAGTGTTTACCCAGCCTCCGATGTTCTCAATCTTCGTGCAAGAGTCCCGAATGAATGACTTCTGCTGAGATGTTTTGGCAAGCAAACATAATCATCAGTTCAGTGCCAAGAACCCGTAGGTAAGGCTATGATGGCAAGACGGTCGGTGTTCGTTAGTCTCTCACGCCACTCTAGATGGCCTTGCCTGTCAGCATTAGAGTTGAGCCGTAGGCAACTCTAACGGACCGCAGCTTCAGTCTTCGTGGAAAGTCGAGCCGTTGTCACCATCGACTATTCGACTATTTCCATTGGCTCGATTGCATCATCACTCAAAGCAAATGCCAAGTCTGTAATTTGGAATGGTAAGCCTTAACTAGCATGTCGAAATGCTTCTACTTGGAACTTGGAAAGCTGAGAGTAAATGATTGGTCAAAATAAGCAAGTCGATATTGACACAGGCAATCACCCAATTCAGGGGTGGACTTGAGACGCATCTATGCTGGTAAGCAACTGATTTTGTGTACTGAATACGCTTATGCATATGTGCATACATCTAAGCAAAAAGGTGGAGCACAGGCGAGCGAAAAGTTTAACTTCTTGCTTAGTTTGAGCGTTTGCGTAAGCAGTCGTGATTGTATTGTCTCGCTAATAGCACAATGGTCAGACCCTTTGCGAAGTAGTGATGCGACCAGCAAGGCTTGATGAACTTGAAATTTCTCAGGTAAGGTAGGTAACAGACATGTAACATGCTACGCGCTAAGTTTAGTTGGGTTCACAGCACCGTTAACCGTAACGCAGAGGGATGCCCCAATACTACAGTATACATGTAGGCAACGTCAACAAGAAGTTTAGTTATCTCGTTAGTGTGGCTTGTTAAAAGCTCTTGCGAACAATCCCTTTCCCAATGGATTCAGTCACAGGTTTTAGGGCTACTCAACAACCACTTGAAGAGTCATATAGCTATTCTCAACACTCTGAGTTTTCGAACAGCTCAGAATGTCACGATAGACGTGGGAACACGATGTCAAAGGGTGATTATGATTATACAATGACAGCAGGGAGTGGTATAAAACAATAGAAAAGTGTTATTGATCTCGTCTATGGACATTTTCCCGGCGATTTTGACCCTTTGGTCAAACCGAATAGATATTCTTAGCCACAGAATGCCTACATCGCATTCACCACGGAAGCTCCTTGTGATCATAGGTGCGGAATGCAGCTGCAGTCTCTCGGGTCGCCTGATCAATCTGCTCAACAGTTAGTTCTGAGCAATGTAGCTCATCTAATCACCTGAGCATGCATACCTCAGTGAGAATGGAGTCTATCGCCTCAGCGACAGAGACAGGGGCCTCCTTTTTTCCGAACCTGACCGCAGCAGCGTTGCCCATCTCCGTTTGCACCCACCTTCCCCCCCGTAAAGACATTCATTAGCGACCAAACGTTACGCAAAGCAGAAGATCAGGAGTGGGAAAAGAGAGAAGTGTCGGCTTACCCTGGGTGCAGAGCAAGGGCGATTAGATTCTCGTTCTCGCTCCCGATCCTGCGGACCATGAAGTTGACCGCGGCCTTGGAGGAGCCGTAGGCCGCGCAGGGCGAGGCATATTGAGGGACCTCGCCCAAACTTCCGGCAATACTCGAGATTACGACAAACTTTGGTGTCGGCGATCTCGCCAAGAGGCGCCACGTAGCCTGGAATAGAAGCAAGGGCGCAACGGCGTTTACAGTGAAGCAGTCGAGGACGTCTTCGATTGGTGTCTCGGCAGCCGGTGTAGGGGCCTTGCTGATGCCCGCGTTGGCGATTACCACGTCGATCGTATCCACTCCATGATCGTGGACCAGTTCCTCAATCGCAAGCGAGGCGTCTTTCGGGGAACGGCTGTCGATTGTGATGGTGATTAGTCTGCTTCCGGAGTGGGTGCGCAAGCTGAGCAAATCGGAGGCCTGGTCTTGAGAGCGCGTTGCGGCGATGACTGTGGTGTTGGGCCGTTGGAGGAGCGCTTCGGCGAGGCCGCGGCCGAGGCCTGCTCAGTTAATGCCCAGTTAGATCCAGGTGTACCGAATGGGGCTTTTTGGGAAAGTAAATTTGATGAGGCACGTACCGCGACCCGCTCCAGTGATCAAGTATGTGGCGCTTTCTGACATGGCTTGGGATAACTTCGGGGAGTGATAGAATGTCTGTTCACGGTCTTGGGAGCCGGGAAGATGTCCGTATAATGGCGGTCTGATCTTAAATATGTATGTCGAGGCAGTCTCTTCATAACAGGGGGCGATATGATGACATGCTATTGTGCATAATCTGAGTTTCGATGGCCTTTGCCCGCAGGTCAGCATGTACTATGCTTCGAGATGTCATATTGGAAGCGGTAAGCATAGCTGAGGCGATCTTCTGCTCAGGCTGTAATTGAATATTACCGAGAAGTTTACGTGTATAGGTTAGACAACCTCGAACCCTCCTTTTCCACAGTCCGCCCACATCCCACATCACCCGTACTTTTAGTCACTTAGAAGTCACAACTCAGCCCAACTCGGTCTTTTGCCCAACAGTCCGTATATCCACTTTCACACTTCCCATCTCCATCCTCTAGAGTGAATCTCATATATTTAGTGATCTGGTCCAGCCAACCAAAGTCGCATCCAAGTGCCGCGTCGAGCTGCCGTTTTGAGAATGCAGCCTAGATCGGTCGTGTGAAGCACAACGCTACCACGTGAATATACTTTCTAGTCCTTCGCATACTTGTAAGTCTACCATTTGCTTTTGAGGTTTCTGTCGTGCAGGAGTCGAGCAACGAAGATGATGGCTCCTCCTCCGAGCAGACAACACCCCTAAGAATGTGCCGTTAGCAATGATTTCTGATCAATAAGGCGGGGAAATGCAAGACTTACTGCAAAGATGATCAGAGAATGGTACCCGGCTCGGGTCTCGCTTGTAATCAACGCGCCAGCGATTGGACTGCCAGTCAAAAACGCCATAGACGTAACGGTGCCAAAGGCGCCGAGCCTTGCGCCCAACCTATCAGCAGGGATGATTTGGCCGGTGGCGGCAGGCATGACTGAGATGAAAACCCCAGATGCGAAGCCGTAGAGGCAGGCAAAGCCAGCCAGAACGCCAGGGGTTGTAGCAGGGAGCCACATCGCCACGCACAAAAGCCCACATAGAAGGATCATGGGGTAGAGAAAGTTCAGCCGTCCGATGCGGTCCGCCGAGTGACCGCCGCTATCAAAGTTAGTTTGCTGAAGAATGTGGGTAAAGTCAGGGAAGACTACATACATGATGCGACCAAAAAGACTGGCCGCATTGATCAGCGGGAGAAGGTAAGCCGAATGGTCGAGTTCGGATCAAGGGCGACGCAAAACGGCTCTGGATTTTGTCAGACGGCGATTTGCAGGGTACGAAGCCGAAAAGATGTGGATTCATGCACTTACCAATGTAGTAGAACGGAACGTAAATGCCGAGACTTGAGATGACTGCTCCGGCGAGAGACAAGAGTATCGGATGTCGAGAAAGCCTTTGTAGTCAAGCAGATCCCTAAAAGATCTCATCTTCCTCTTGGGTCGTTTGGACGAGGAGACGGCTATGGCTATAGCGTAGCAGATGACCATAATCAGGGCCCCGACACGCAGTGCCCACGGGAAACCAATGGTGGGAATCAGTTTGGAGAACATGATTGGCAGGCAGACTCCTCCGAAACTGCTACCGGAGGCGACGATTCCCATGGCCAGAGCACGCTTGCGGTGGAAATACTGCCCTGCAACCGTGAGAGCGGGCTATCACACTGGAGTCAGTACGTTCAAGAGCTTACAATGACCCGAGAGGTTCCTAGGGATCAAGATTCATCTGCTTGAATCTAGCATGCCATCACCGGACCCCGTCCCCTTGTCCTCCATGTCTTCAGAGCGTGGGGCCGAGGATGAGCGTTAGTAGTTCAACAGGAGGAGTGTAAACTACTTACTTGCACTCCATAGGCGACTGTGAGGCCGAAGAGAAGAGATTGGACCAGAAATTGCTGCCAGATTGCATTCGGCTGCGTGAAGGATGTCGCAAGCATGGAGCCGGCACCACCAATGGCAGCGAACAGGTAGAGCCACTCACATGAAAGTTAGCAAATTTATAACCGAGGAGTGGGACTTGGGAGCAGAGCTACATACTTTGGGACCGTAGAGATCAAACAGTGCTCCGGCAACAGCACCCGACAGATACATCAGGGTGATCTGCAGGGTTCCGATGAAGGAAATGGCGGTGGGCGAGTAATTCTTCAGGTACTCTTGTTGATAAAAGGTCTGGAAGAAGCCGAAGCTGTTCACGACACCGAAAGATGCGAAGTAAACGAGGAAGGAGCCCGCAACGGCAAGCCATGCCTGGGTACCGCCCTCGGGGTAGACTTCATGTTCTGGTTCTGCAGGGGATGGTTCTTCGTTTCCGTGCTGGGTTCCGGAGATGGATTCAGGGTCCGGGTCTAAAGAGGGGACGATGGAGCCGCCCTGCTTCTCAGACCGAGACTGATCTGATAGAGTGTTACCTGCCATAGTTCACAACGTGAACTGGCCTGCTTAAAAAATGGGTTAGGTAGCAAGTATGCTTACAGCGAGGATGATTGGCGACCGCGACGAAACGGTCGGTGGCAGTAACGATTCTGAGTGGTCAACTTGCCGCCTGACCAAGGTAAGAAGACGAGTAGGTGAGGAGGTGAGGGTTTAATGACAGAAGAAAGACGCACCGAGGCAAGTAACAGGCAGGTGGTTATAGTTTATATACCATGTCAGACGCGGACATCCGTATTCATCCACACATGCATTCAACCCGTGTAACGGTCCGTACACAGTGGATCAGATATGGGGGCCACTAAGGTGGAAAGGGACAACAACATTAGACTTGAATTAATAGATCGCGTCTTCATACGGCTATCCCATCGAGTGCTGAATGGCAACAGTGCATCCAGTGAGGGGTAATAGCCACTCAGAGACCAGCCAAGCCTTTTTCCAACCAATCAAAAGGCCTAGTTTTCTAGTACCTCTTCCGTCTATATATTCTGGTTATGAAATAGGTACCAGCAATCTTCTGAGTTACAAATCGCAACCCCACACTGCTCACACCCTGACCTCGTCTTCCTATGGGATCGTGAGTTTCCTGAGACTTCGCTAAGCGCCTTCTTTGGCCGATTACACGCAACGCAGGCGGAGGCGCTCTTCCGCGAGACCCTTATATGCTGTTGCCACGGAACAGAGTTATCTCTCGTATTGTCGGCTTCCGCTCGGGTACGTTGAAGGGGTTGAATACGCTGCCCCTTTCGAGGGATGGGGGCTCATATGGGCGTACGACCGCATTATCGCATCTCTCGGGTGTACAGTCAGCAGTACAGGCAGCGGCTAGGTCTTCGGGAAGTACGGCGACGTTGATACACGACCGTACCGACCCCTCGGAATCGCTAGAAGTCATCGCGACGTTTCATCACATAGGAAAATGTCGGTCTTGGTGGTGAAAATAGGGAGGAACCCATAGGGGTAAATGACGTACCGTCATGTATCGCTGTTGTGAGGGGGAAAAGTGGGTAATAATTGGGGGGGGGGATGTACTGCTGCCATTCAGCACTCGATGGGATATGGCAGCATATCTGACAAATGACTTTACCTAGACCTAGCACTACCCTGTTTTAATGTACGAAATATGAAAAGTGACAGAATCCATGCATGCTCCTATGCGAGTCATGGACATAACCCATTCGGAATGGTCTGACCATCACGAAACAGGCCAGACTGTCATTTCCACCTGGTCCTAGCTCTGCAAGACTTATTAGGATAGCATTAGGCCCACAAGCCTATGGTGATTCCATCCACTCTTTAGTACGAATAGACGCTCTTTTCTGCTCACTCATATATGCATATTCCGCTGGCCACCCTGACTAACCGTCAAAAAGCTTGTGTCTTTACACAACCAATCATAATAAACCATATCTCGGGCGGATATATGTGGAGTGTAGTTCCACAGAACCCTTAGTTTGTACAAGCGCGCTAACATGGGTGTTGCACCCTGGGACCGACTTCCGGGAGGGGCTTCCGGAGGGGTCCGGCACTGCTGCTTTCAACAATTTTCTCCATAATACAACCGAATCGACCACTCCTTTGAACATGTGGTATTTTGCTCATGTCGTTGGCTGGTCTGCTGGCAGCTGAAGGTTTGTGTAATGGATGGTCTTTGTCCCCACGCGAGTCCAATTTTCCTACAAAACTTATATACTTTTCAGTTTTCAATTCTTTCCAGTCGCCATCAGCGCCACGACACGATTTACAACGTATGGTACACCACAACGCATGGCTGCTGTGTGGTACTACATGCAGACCCTCGGGAAACATCCTCCTTTCCTGACACAATGTTGTTCCACTCTTCCTCCCGAGACATGGAGAATTTCAGAGAGTCATTGGAGCCCGTAATTACGGACACATTCGAGTCAATGTTTACTTCCAGAAGTTGAACTGCCTTTCTCGGCGCCAAGATACCGCCCTAGATCACGATGGCCCTCAGCACTCGTATTGGTTTCTTTTTGACCGTAGTAGGGTTGCATTAGTCCCCATCACGGCTTCAACCCCGTCCCCGCAGGCAGTGCTTCTGAGTTCCAACCTTCTGATTCGGGAAGATCCGACCCTTCCCGTATGCTCTCGGGACTTGGCCTCAACGAGAATATATATTACCGGATTACTTGGCGGTCTCTTCGGCTCCCTCAGACGAACATTGTTCTCGAAGCTCTTGTTAAGTGTGAAACTTGGCGCTTTGGTTGAAGTACCCTGAGAATGGCAGGCAACGTTGTCAGCGAAAGGAGACGGCAACAGAATAGAGAGGCCCAGCGAACCTACAGTAGGTTGAATCCGGATGCTCCACCCGCGAGCTAAACAGTGGAAGTAACGCAAGTGATACTGACACCCTACAGGGAAAGGCCTACTCAAGCGCATCGAGGATCTCGAGAATCAACGGAGTGCGTCCCCGGCCGGTTCAGGTGGGAGTGACACCACCAAACCGACGCCGACTTCAACGAATAATCACAAGACGCAACCAGATCACCAAACTCTGGCCCCATCCGACGACGAGGCTTTCTCATTTCAGTCCTCTCCATTATCCAGAGCGCTTAGTCTAGACCCCATCATCGAATCTACCCTCAACCCACGGCGTGGTTTTATGGACCCGCTGTCGGGTTACCCAACTTTCGATCATGATGACAACTCCGCAAACACGGATTCCCAAGTAAGGAAAATTCTATGGTGTGTCGGAGACTTTCTTATGTCAATGCTGAGACTATCGGCATGTAGACAGGCATATCATTATCTTGCTGGTTGAAAAGCCAGGAGGCCAACGAACCCATCTTTGGAAACCAGTCCACTATGGGCGGAGTTGGCGGAACAGTACTCCACGCGGCCGTTGTGCACGGCAACGAGGCCATCGTCAAACTACTGATCGAAAAGGGAGGAGACCTGAATGCGCTGACGCAACAGCGCAAGGACACGCTTCATCTGGCCGTAGAGAGTAATCAGATGAACATCGTCCGCCTCGTGCTCAAGGCGGGTGCCAATGTGAACAGTGTAGATGGGTGCGGGCACTCGGCTCTCTTCAAGGCCATCTTAGGCGGGAACGAGGACCTGGTGCGTTTGCTTTTGGACTATGGTGCCGACGTGAACCAGTCCATTGCACTTGTCCCCGAGGCATCAAGAATAGGCGTCACAAGTGTTGCAGCTGGCTTTGTATGACACTACTGAATAATTTATATAAATGCAAAAAAGGAATAACGTGGTTCATCAGTCAGCCGGCCGGACCAGTCAGCCGGACGTTTTTTTTAAACACACTTATGTCAAAACCACTTAAACCTTTGACGCGTAAAATCTCAACAAGCATAATACCAATCTATACCTAAAAAGATAAAGTCATTCTTGTAATTGAAGCGATCCGATCAATACGCGCTGTAGGTAGTAACTTAAGCATTTCGCGTGCCGCAAAGACCTACGGTATCCTAAAGAGCACCTTAGCCGATAGAATAAATAACCGACCGCGACGCGAACAAACTTAACCCTAACGACATAAACTCGATCCGATCGAAGAGAAAACACTTCTCTAATACGTTATTAAACAGGTTTCCAGAGGATTTCCTTTACGCCTTAGCGGTATGGAAGATATGGCCAATCTCCTACTGCGAGTGCGTAATACCGAGCCTATTGGTAAGCGATGGGCCAGGCGGTTTATGGACTCACAGCCTGCTCTGAAAACAAAGTTTAATCGTCTATACGATTATCAAAGGGCTCTTCAAGAAGACCCAGAGGTTATTTCAAAGTAGTTTATATTATTACGCAACATAATAACTAAGTATGGAATCTAAGAGGAGGACTTATACAATTTCGACGAGACTGGCTTCATGATGGGCATAATCACCGCATCAATAATAGTAATACGCGCCGATCGACGCGGTAAAGCAAAGTCTATCCAGCCGGGTAACCGTAAATAGGCTATAGTTATTGAATGTATTAATTCGCGCGGGTGGTGCATCCCTCCGTTCGTGATCGTTAAGGGCGTATATCACCTTACCAGTTGGACCACGGAATCAGGTTTTCCGGGCAACTAGGTCATCAAGCCCATTGCTAATGAATGGACGGATAACCAGACGGGTCTTGACTAGATTAAACACTTCGACAAACATACTAAGAACCGAACTAAGGGCGTCTACCGGATGCTCATTATCGACGGCCACGAGAGCCATTTATCGGCCGAATTCGACGATTACTACAAGCAGAACAATATTGTAACGGTCAATATGCCTACACATTCGTCGCATATAATATAGCTATTAGACATTGCGCTTTATTCGCCTTCGAAACGCGCATACGGTGATGAAATCAACCTATTTATCAGAGCCTCCATAAATCACATTACCAAGTCTGAGTTCTTTATTGCCTTCCACCAGGCCCACAACAGGGTTTTTAATGAGGAAAACATTAGGTCTGCTTTCCAAGGCGCTGGAATTTCACCATGGGACCCAGAATATATCATCAAAAAGCTTAATGTGTATTTACGGACGCCTACACCTCCTATGGCTAACCCTTCAACACCACCACCTTGGTAGTTGTAAACGCCCTCTAACCCATAACAAGCCGTCTCGCAGTCTAACTTTATTAAAAGCCGGATCTCTGCTTATAAAAGAAGCTCACCGACAGCAATTATTGCTGCAGTTGAGTAATTGTCAAAGGGTACGTAGGTAATGGCGTACTAAATCACTATTTTGACTGATCGGCTTCGTACCCTTGAGGATGCGAATGTAGTACTTGCTAAGCGTCGGAGGGCTAAAAGGTCGCGTGTGTAGCTTGGAGGGGTACTTATTATAGAGGAATCTCAGGGTTTGCTAGAAGAGAAACAAAAAGGTAAACGTCCAGCACCTCGAGAGGATGAGGAGGGGGGTCTATCAAAGAGAGCCCAGCCGACTCGGAGACGCTGTAGTGCGTATAGTAAGACTGGGCATACTATACGAACCTGTTCCAAAGATATCAAATCATCAGGAGATTCTGATAGCGACAACTAACAATTGATTTAATGCGTTGTGGTTGAGAAATACTAGATGTTGTTCTGGACGTGAGAAAAAACGTCCGGCTGACTAGTCCGGCCGGCTGACTGATGAACCACGTTATAACTATCGCATGTCGTACCTACATGAAGAAAAAGAAATTTGCTGCGTCTATCGGGGATGTGACCCATGCTTCTTAAATGCACCCAAAGGGCAAGATATGGGTTCCTCTTCATCACAATACAATAAGAACTGCCTTAGCCGAGAACATCAAGCAAAAGGCCATGGAGCTTAGCAACAATCAGGTCCACCTCTTTCTCGCTAACAGTATATGCGGGGGCAATTGTAATGTGGTCTCCAGAAATACCATCGGCAGTTCCAGCTCCTGGATAAAAATAAACGTTCCATGGCTCCGAGAGACCAGTCTGACTTATCCTAGCAGATACGGCATCCTCTGCAGGGAAAGGCTGCTTCGTGGTCTTGTTCTTGACGAACTCGACCGCCCACATCAGCCCCCGGCCTCGAATGTCCCCAACATTGGGATGACCGCCCAGAGCAGCGCGCAGAGCCGCTCCCAAACGCTCTCCCATGCGCATCGAGTTCTCCACGAGATCTTCTCTCTTGATGATACGTTGAACGGCAACACCCGCTGCGCATGCCACGGGATGCGAGCTGAAAGTGTGCCCGTGGTTCCAGACACCGGATCCGCCGTCGATGGCATCGACCACCCTCTGATGAACGAGCATCATTGCGACGGGTGCGTACCCGCCAGCGACGCCCTTTGCTACTGTCTGGATGTCGGGGATCACATCTTCCTGTTGCCAGGCGTGGTAGGTCCCTGTGCGGCCGATGCCGCAGAAAACTTCGTCAAGAATTAGCAGTGCCGAATGCTTGTCGCATACCGCTTTCATAGCCTTGAAGTATCCCGGAGGCGCAGTATGGCAGCCCAGTGCCTAGTTTTGTCAGTCAACGGTCCCCTAAACGTGATGGAGAAGCTTTGAAAACTCACACTTCCGCTGACCGTTTCTGCAATAAAGGCACAGACATTGTTGGGTCCGCGAAGCTCGAACTCGGCGTCGAGCTCACACGCCAGTCTCTCGACGTACTCCTCCGTAGTCTCGCCATCGAGCATGCCGCGATACATTGTGGGCATCGAGACAAAGGATACCATATCGCTTTTGAGGAGCGGCTCAAAAGGTTTACGAAACGCGACTTTGCCGCTCAACGCAAGTGAGCCCAGAGTGGTTCCGTGAAAGGCACCCGCTCGGGCTATGAAGCCCGCCCTATTGGGTACGCCAAGTTCCGCAAAGTACTTTACTGCGAGTTTCATTGCTGCCTCGACAGCCTCCGAGCCTTGCATCAGTTAGCAAGGTACAAGACATGGGGCGATTGAGCTATAGACTTACCAGAGCTCATGATGGTTCCTTTTGCAAGCTTTCCATTCGTAGTCTCAATCACCGCCTTGGCGAGTTCTTCAGCCGGCCGGTTGGACTGATTCAACGCAAAGCAGTAGGACACGCTCTGCATCTGCTCGACAACAGCCTGAGTAACCTCAGTGTTTCCATGGCCGAGACAGGCGACGGCAGGGCCTGCACACGCCTCAAAGATCCGGCGGCCATCCTCGAGTATCAAGTACGACCCTTTGCCAGAGGCTACAATCGGCGGCGGCTTTCTGTGGATGTTGGGATGCAAAATGCTGGTCTTGGACTGGTCGATGACTGGAGTTCTCTTGGCTGATGCGACTTTGGGGACGCCCATGATGAAGGTTTGTGTGTGGGGTAATAAACGCAGCATTCGGGTGCAAGTCAAGCGCGACGAGATGAGGTAATTTGGAATAATTGTGGACTGGCCAGACTTGAAATACTTCCTGTAGTAGATGAAAAGGGAGCGCCTAGAATTGCAAAGAAAAATACCAGGGTGACGCTACTACTCGACAATGTTCAGTGTTGCTGAGTTCCCTCTCAAATGTGCTTACTTGCGGTACAAAACAATACCTGCAAACCTTGATTACCCGGTTAGTTTCCAGCTTAGTCGCACCGGCATGCGGACCCGTCGCCAAGTCACCTAGCTTTTCTGATTTATTTTTTCATCGTTTCTTCTCTGCCTTCCTTTTGTTAATCCCTTTGCCTTTTACTTTTGTTTCTCTTTTGTAAAGGAGATTTCAGAAAGCATAAGTACCAGATTTTGGTAAACGCCTTTGGGAATATAAATCTGCACTGATGTGGCTAGGCCTAGTTGAATCAGAACAGGTATATGTAAACTTATCCAGTTCATTGGTATTGCCGCAACTAAGCCCAGATAGTTGTCAATGGCATTCAGTGTATTCAAATTGGTAAATCGTATTGATGTGTCTTTCGTAAGGGTACTAATTGCTGGGGTATTGAGACATGACGATCATGTTGTACATCTTATTTGATATCTTGAGTTGTAGAGTCAATACCATCGAATAGAGTTGGCAAGGTACAGGATAGAGTCACTTTTTCCCTTTGCTTTCATTAAGGTACCTCTCCCAATATCCTGGCTTGAATAATAAGTATTATAATGCCAGAAACGTCAACAGTCGATACATTGGGGGGCTTCCACGTTAATGAGGACGCCGAGAAGGAGTCAGTAAATTGAATCGTAAGATTAAAGAGTTTCTCCTTTGTAGCGAAGTGCAAGACAATGACTCTTCTCGCGTTCATTGCAACAAACTGGAGCTAAAGCTGTCTGCGCCTAACCAGTATCTCCTGTTCCTCCCCCGGAGTGATCATCGCCCCCTTAATCCCGTTCTTAGGTCTTCCTGCCTCCTTATCAACAAGGTCCAATTCGAAATGGTCAACCAAATGAAGGATGATGAGCTTGATGATCGCACTACCGAAAAAACGACCGGGACAGGCCTGGCGCCCGAACCCGAAATGCAATTGCTCGGCAGAGTAACTCGTGAACTGGTTTCTATGAGCACCACCGTCGGCCGCGTTCATCCGTTTATTATGGAAACGAAGACCGTCAAACTTTTCGGGAGAGGAGTAGACTTCAGGATCCCACGAGACCATAGATGAGGGAGCGAGGATGTGAGTCCCTTTCGGAAGATGAACGCCGTTTGAAAGGGTTACGGGCTTCATGACCTGCCTTGAAAATGCAGCTTTTCGCCTCATTAGCTTGAGCATCTGAACATGGTATCATTGGCCACTTACTCAATGTGGTAGGGTTCATTCTTTGAGACTCCTTCAAGAAGCTGTCAAGCTTTGTTAGGCTGCTAAGGATTGCCGCCTCTTTTGTGTTTGACTCTTGGCGCTTCCGCGCCTCTTGGTTCTCTTCTCGAATGGTGTCCTGATACTTCGGCATTGCCGCCAAATCTAGGACCGCATTGGTCAAGGTGACGCCTGAAGCGTGAAGAGAACCAAATCCTGAGACGAGACACATCTCGGCTACGAAGCCGTCACTCTTAGGTGACCTGTCCTTTGCTGCGTTATCAGTCATCCACTGCAGAAGGTCATTCGGTCTTTCCCACTCCTTTCCAGAAGCTCGAGCTGCCGCTTCCGCCGCCCGGCGCTGCTTTATGATCGGAATCAACATGTCTCTGGCAGTAGCTTGTCGCTTCCACACATCGCAAATGCCTGAGACAAGACCTCCACTGGCAGCAAAGGGACGCAAGGGTCGAGACCATGCCTTGAGGGCCCAGCCGCCGGCGAACAAGTCGTCAAGAAAGCCCACCATGGTGTCCAGCCAGACCTCGTCGCGGCTCAGGTCCGGACCAACAGTCATGCGGGAGACGACTAGGGCCATAATTTTGATTATGCGAGGCCAAAGTGCAGCAGAGGACCATTCTGAAGGGTTGAGCTGTTAGATTACTGGGCTTTCATGATTCCTGAGCCAACTACTTACCTTGACCAGCAGGCAGGTGCAAGGAGCACGCGTACTCAACTTCTTCTCGCATACCGGGGAGCAATGCACCTTTTTGGTGTCAGTAACCTTGAACTCCTCGTTTTCATCAGAAGACCATGGTGGCTGCTAGTATCACTTACCAACTTGTCGTGTCAAGTCCGTCTGCACTGAATGGAACAGAAGATGGTCCGCAATCCGCAGCCATTCGTAATCGCCAATGATTCGCTACATAGACACCCATCAGTCAATTCTTCAGAGTGTTTCGGACCATTATTGGACAATATCATACCGTCTGACTTGCAGCATGCACATCGACCACATCCGTTCCCTTGGCATTGAGCTCCTCGACAAACTTGGGTGCAACAATCACCACGAAGCCGTCGATGCCCCAGACCTGATAGACACCATCTCGAAACCTCTCCCAGCCCTGTTGGAGAATGGACTTGAAGTTGTGCACGTACTTTTCTGAGGCAGAGGCGTAGTTCTTGTCTTCGCCGAGATTCAAGACAGGCACACGGACTTTCGGCTCTTTCCAGCGGTACAGGCTAATGAGGGACGGAACGAGTTTGTAAAGAACGACAACGAAGAGAAAAGAGGCTGCGATGGTGGAGCTCTCGGTAAGCGTTCTATCGAAGAGGTACCTACGCGGACCGGAAAGTAGGTCGAACATCTTGGCGGTAATTGCTCGGGCTTCATAGCACAGAAGTCGACGAAAGGTTCCGGCAGCAGGCGGAAGTATGTCGCCGTTTGAGATTAAAAGTATATGAATGATATTGATACTCTTGCAATTTCTCATGAAGCTGACAGGGGTCTTTTATGGAGTGGAGTTGTTGCAGCATGGTTGCTTGTGGATCGGGTAATCAAGCATGTAAGCAACCAGATAATCACAAACCAGGCATATTATGCGCGTGTAAGTCGGGAAAATATCGTAAGCTTGGCATATTGAAAGGTCAACTCAGACGTATAAGCAGGCAGCTTCTCGAATGGTGCTTCAAGTAGGCCGCCAGAGAATGCTCGTCTCGGACACGTCTTGAGAAGAGCTGGAGATAGTATGTTAATTGTCAAATGAGAGATCCAGCAAGACGATTGATCCAATTTAAAGAAGAACGTTACAGCTTTGTAATAATTGCAAAAAGTCGTTTTGATTGTATACTAGCATTCGAGTCATCATGAGCGACATCATTGATCTGCCGGACCAAACCAAATCCGCGAGAAATCACTTCCAAGTCCTATCTCCAACGAATGAAGGTAAAGTAGTGATCATCCCTTACCTACATCAGGCACAGCTTCGATCCTTTATCTAACCATCGTCAGCCGTATATGAATTCTCTTGGAAAACCTACACGAATCCGATTCGCGGCAACGATTGGCAAACCATCGACGTTGTCTTCGATATTATCCCAACAGATGCCTCCAACAACACACGGCTGAGCCATGCGTGGGACGATGACTGGCGCTTCTCCATCTCAACATCTAAGCTTGCGACCGATTTTCTCTCTGAATGTCTACGCGCATCCCTAAAAAGCGGCCTCGGATGCGGCCCCCGCGTCGTCAAGCTCATCGTGCCGCTCGTTGAGGGGCAAATCGTTCGATCCGATATCATCCCGCTCCGCTTTATTGACTGCGAGTTCGTAGACGCCCGGTTATCCCTATCAGAGCCACTGAGATTCTTTTCGGGTCTGCCTGTCCAAGTCTTTCAACTGGACGACCTTGCAGAACTACTCGGAGTGTCTGCGGGTGGTCTCATTCTTCAGGCACTGCCGCCCGGGATTGGGTCACTCGAAGCCCGCTCGTTCTCACAGTTCGTCGAAGCTGAGACGGAGAACCGCTTGTCCTTCCCGTGGATAACGACGCCGACAGCTCCTAAGACCCTGGTCATCGTTGAGGGCAGTCGCCAGCACCCCAGCGATGGAGGCACGGGACACAACATCTATCTCGCCGCCATGGCTCTGGGAATCAAAATGGTCGTTCTCGATGTCCCAGGCCACTGGTTAGAGGGTCTTGAGTATGAACACTGGCGAGAGGCTTTCATTCCCATCGTGATGTCCCAGCCTCCGGACGAGGGATTCGCAGACCGAATTGCACAGGCAGTCGCCACTTACCAAGGGAAAGTCGACGGTATCATCACCTTTTGTGACTCATTCCAACATCAGGTAGCCCTGGCGGCGCAAAAGCTTGGTCTCCCAAGCTCCAAGCCCGAAGCCCTCAGGACCGCCACCAACAAGTATGCAACCAGCGTCTTCGAGGGCCGAAAGTCGCATCTTGTCTCGAGCACACAGGAGGTCCTCCAGGTGCGGCTAAGCAAGGCAGCTCTCTGTTCCCCTGCATCATCAAGCCCTGCAACGGCTGGAGCTCCGAGGGCGTATTCCTTATCAACAACAACACCGAGCTCATCGAGGCCATGGGCCCCCTCGACGCCCTCTCCAAGTCCAGGCACGGCAGCGAATTCGTGATTGAGAGGTACTGTGCCGGCCCGGAGGTGGACGCCAACTTTGTTCTCCTGGACGGCGAGATCCTCTTCTTCGAGGTTTGCGATGACTTCCCCAAAAGCGCGGACACATCCGGCTTCAGCTTCGGCGGCGCAAAAACCTTCATCGAGCTCGACAGCGTGTTCCCCTCCAAGCTCCCCGAATCGGAGATCAACCTGCTCCGGATCTGCTTCCACAATACGCTGCTGAGGCTGGGACTCCGCAACGGCGTCATGCATCTCGAGGGACGAGTGGACAACTCGACGGTCGAGTACCGCACTGAGGGCGGCGTTCTCGATCTTCGACCGAGGGCCGCCGAAACCCAGAGCCGGGGCGCGATCAAGAGCCCCGAGGCGTGGCTCATCGAGATCAACCCGCGCCCGCCGGGCATGAAGGGCACACAGGTCATCGAGTCCACGCACGGCGTCGATTACTGGGGTCTGGGAATGCTGATCGCGCTGCGAGACGAGGAGCGCACAAAGGCGCTCTGTCACGCTTACAGGAATGGCCCCCAGTACACGTGCGTGATGGTCTTCATCCCCGCGGATTACGACTTTTCCTCGGCGGAGGGCATTTTCGACTCAGGGGATATCTGCGACGATCTGTTCAATCGTCGGCCTGATCTGGCCAAGAACGTGAGTCGGTACGGATGCTTGGTGAAGAAGGGTCAAAAGGTCGCCCACCCGAGCCAAGGCGTGAACAGCTTCCTGGCATACTTCAATGTGTTCTCAAGAAAGGGAAGGGAGGATGCGCTGCGGCTTGCCAAGATCGTCAGGGAAGAAGTTCGGTTCTCGTTTAGATAATTGCCGGTTACTATTTACGTATGTAATAGCCCTGCGGCTCTTCACGAAATGCCCTATTTAAATCATCTTCTTTGAGGCTCTCTATATATTAGCATAGTGACACCTGCTTAAATATCTTATTCTATAATCTTACACGATATTGACTATAAGACGAGGTATATAATACTAGTATTAAATTTGGGAATTGATATACCGGCGTCGCAAATTGATACACCGGCGTCGACCTTACACCGGCGTCGCTGTTCGACCTTTTGATTGGCTCAAAAAAACAATACCTCCCCATAAAGGCGGTGAGGGTGACTGCACTAACATGGCTATTCCTGCCCTCTTCTCTAACCTAAGCTCTAAGTCAAACCCCCCACTTCCTGGCACCCCCCTGTTTCTGGCACCACAAAAACGATGGGATCACAACCCGACCTCCTCATTACTATTAACTATTGATCCTCAACCACACCCACTACAATACAGCTGCCAGCCTCACTAGGGCATTCAGAGTCGCTGGATTCAGCCGTGATAACCTCCTTTTCACCCGCTTCGATTTGAGCCCGATGGATATCCCTGATGTTCGCGAACTTCGTGTTGGGATCGATTTGAACAGTCTTCCTCTTCCTCACTGCAGCGTTGGTAACTTGAGCCCTCAGGTGAGCTAGTTGCTGCTGGGCAGCTGCCAGTTGCCAGGCCTGCTCTGTGAAGCCTTTTTTCACCTTCCTGAATAGCAGCCGTTGAGTGCTGGTATCATTGTCGAGTTGGGTGTATAAGTGCAGTTGACCGCTGAGCTCTGCCAGCTTCCTGGGTGTCGACCAGACCACTGCAGAGGAGGCAGAATCCCATGGCTCAACAGGGGTAGTTTGTTGACCATTATGGCATCGCTTTCTGCCCTGACTAGTTGGTTTGGGTGTGGTGGGCTTAGCAGGAGGCTCAGGTAGTACCATAGGGTTCATCAGGGGCTTAACCATCGCCACAGGGTGTAGACCAGTCCACTTCCAACCACTTCTGATGTTCGAGACTGATAGACCAGCAAGTCGAGCCTTCTGGTAACAGTCCAGGAAGTTCCTTTTACCTATAATGGTAGAGTCGTTCCATTGAGACAAGTAACCGAGCTCCTTCCGATAGGCTGACTTAACAGGGCTGAAGACAGACTGGTCAAGAGGCTGGAGGACATGAGAGGAGTGTGGTGGTAAGAACAGTAAATGGATATTGTTAATATAGCAATTCCACATGAAGTCTGTCGTCGTATGACTCCCATGCCCATCCACAATCAGCAGTCGAGCCTCCCCCTCAGCCTCAGGCATAGTCTGTGGGATGAACACCTTCTCTAACCATTCAATGGCAGTTAAGTCTGTAGTCCAGCCATTATCTGTTGCTGTGAACTCCCACCCATCGTATGGAACGAGATGTAATGGAAACCACTGCTGTTGGACTGTCTTCCCCTTGAAAATGATAAGAGGACGAAGTGCCCTACCCAAGGCTGAGATACACTCAATGATAGAGAACCATGCCCTCGACCCAGGTTGTTTCTTGCGAACAGACGTCGTCTCAGCCATACCCAGCACTAACCCATTAGCTCCCTGACCCTCGAGGATGCCAGTCTCATCCATATTATATCTGTTGGCTGGTTTGATGTCCTTGATCTCAGGGATAGCGAGGAACTTAAACCAGTTCCTAATGACCTCAGTAGATGCCCCATTAACGCGTCTAGAATCGATAGAACGACTTCTCTGAACCTTAATGATAGGGTTCCTTCTCACAAAGGCATAGATCCAGCCTTTTCCCAGTGGTTTGGTATCCCCAGCAGCAGCCAGAACTCGCTCTGCGAATTCCTTCACCTGTTGGTGCGTTGGTGCGAGGCCCAGCGAAGCCTGAATGCGAACCCATTGTGCCAGCTTACTCTCCTGGTCAGGAGACAGCCTCTGCCAGTCAGCAAAAGCCACTTTCCTAGTCTGACCACCTTGGAGACGTAGTTGGAGGGTTGATCGTGGTATCCCATACTCCAATGAGGCTCTCTTTTGACTCTTGCCGTTTGAGATGTCCTCGAGAGCCTGACGAAGCTGATCTTCGGTATATTGAGGCATTAGATATAGAAGAAGGTATGTGCAAAAGATGAGCCCATTTGGACGCGAATTGAAAATGTTGTGATAAAAGGAGGTTGGGGGTGGGCATTGGGTTGTGGTGGATTTTCGCGTTTTTGTGGGTGCCAGAAACAGGGGGGTGCCAGGAAGTGGGGGGTTTGACTTAATTTGAGATTTCTAAAAGTACGTATTACAGCCTACTTATACCCCAGGTTTGTAAATCTCAAATAGGGACTATATAACCCCTCAAAAGGCCTATTACCTAACTACCTTTTGCGACGTGGTTGCAAAGATTCATCGTCACTACAGACCATTTCCCACTAACTCCGTTTCCTCCGAACACTAGGCTACATCGGCCGTCCACTTGCATAATTCCCTGTTGTCCTCCCCTTACCAAGAACACTAGACTGGCTCCTTGTTTGTCGCTAGGATGAGCTTGATATCTGGCTTTGACTTGGCTAACTTGTCTCTTGTGTAAGCCCAGCTAGCGTCGACTTATTCTTGCTCCCAGGTGGGCGGCCTCGCTTCTTACTACTTACGCCTTGGCTGCTGTAGGTAGTGCGGGCTTGTCTGGCTGACTGGCCCTCTGCAGGTAAGGCTAGTTATGATAGGACAGGCTGCACTATGTTCTTTAGCCTACCGCGGAGGGATGCAGCAATCTTAGGGTCAAGGATCCGGCGGTATGGATCTGAGGAAGACGTCTCTCGAAGACGCCACCGAGGGTATACCTCCCATTTACTGAAAGTAGCTAAATCTAACTTTTAGGAGTAGATCTTATGGCAGCATGGGATACCCAGCTCAATTAAAACAGTGCAGTCTAGACCACAGTCTCCAAGGGGGGCTAGGAATGGCCTCGTGCCAGACGGCATTGCCTTCTTTACCAGCCGGTATTGCTTCCCAATTAATGCAAGACACTTCGAGGAAAGCATCGTTCGAAGTTCGCCTAGGTACTCAAAGCGAGTACCTATATACTCCCGGCCTGTAAGCACTTCATCCTCAGCACAAGCTTGCCTGAAGCGTATCTCCTGGTCACCAATCATGTCCTACATAACATCAACAAGTCGATATAGGTGACTAAGATCATTAAAGAGATAACTCTTAATGTTGTTATTACTTGACTCAGTGCCAGAGGTGACGCGAACACCAAAGTTCTAATATTTTCGGATAGAGCAGCGGGCCCACTGTGCTCTTAAAGGTAGGTATGTTATGTGGAGGTACTGGAGGATTGGGCGTTGGTCGTTAAACTGTTTACAGAGCTTGGTCCAGGCTTTCTCAAAAGCGTGCTCAGTCTCAGCAAAAACAACAAGCTTCCACATCATAAGGACCCCACGATACGTATGAGGGGGGGCTTATCAATAGATGTGTTGATATAGGCCTCATCCTCATCACTTAGCGTGGCTATTGCTTGTATTGGTAGCTGATATCCCTCGTCATTAGACCCACTGCTGTTACTGCTACAGCTGCGGTCCTTAACCCACTTCTGCTTAGCCCTGAGCATAAGGTTAGAATTGATGTGGTGGATGCAGAGTTGTTGCTGAACGTCTGGGAACTGCTCATTCAGTGCAGCCTTCATCTGCTTGTCGTAGTCTGTAATAATAACAGTGGGGTAACGGACTGAGTGTTGGTCCATGAGTTGGCGGATCCCTGCTGAGAGAAACTGGAAACCCTCTAGTCTCTTGTTGTCGATAAGGCTAAACGCAGCGTTGTAAATAGATCCAAGGCAGGTCTGCCCAGTAGCTTGGAAGAGAGGGAGCTTAAAGCGATTGGTATTATAGGTGTTATCAAAGCTAATCACCTCAGGGAATCGCTTCCACATTTGGAAATAGTAGGGAAAGGTCCAGACAAGGCCAATAAGGCGGTTTGGCTCGGCGTCTGCCCATTTCACTACGTATAGGATGTCTCGCTCATCAAACAGCTTGATTAATGCTGCAGTTAGCGAATATCCCGCTAGTTTCTCTCGGTTTATACGAGCCCTAGCGTTATAGATATCTCGCTAGGTGAATAAGGACTCTAGGAACTGCTCCTAGACAACAGCACGCATATCTCAAGCCCGAATCCCAACTCGTCGGCTTATAGTTTCAATAGCATCCTAAAGTGGCTAGGTAAGCCTACGATGTGAAGGGTGTACAGTAGCTTCAAGGCTAGGGCCATAATTATACTGACTATACTAGGGGTCTAGGTGATAACATAAGAGCCACTTACCCTCCTCTTGAGCCTCGGCAATAACTTGCCATTTACAACCGCATTTACGAGACTTACGCTATCGAATGCCAGCACCTTATGTAGGCCCAGGCTCGCCAAACCGATCACATTAGAAGGTATATCGAATAATTCGGCCTCGAGCTTTATGCCTATTCCGCTTTACAATACCAAATCTATTAGCTCTTACAAATGTATTAGCTCGGTCGAAGAGGGCATCATAGGTTTGCTCTAGATCGCCAGGAATCGGTGGGTTTAGGATTTCGGTTATAGGAGGAGAGGAGGATTAGTTACTTAGAGTATAGTAGGAGGCTGCAGTTCGGAAAGACGCTTCGCTTTAAGGGGAGAATTGCCGTAGGGGTGAATAGGGTGGTAGGTTGACTTGGGGACCCTATGTTTCTTGCCATTGACGGACATACTCTTATTATCGGAGGAGTGCCGTTGTTAGCTGTTGATTAGTCCTAATAACCTGTAGAATAAGCTGAAGAGCACTATTGAACTGCTCTGTTATAGGATGGGAAGGTTGCTGGGACTGTTCGTTAGGAGGAGAGGGGCTATGCTCTAGAGAAAGTCGTGGGAGAGTAGTCCGCTAGGTTTTTATTATTCCTTTAACTAGCAGTTCGGACACAAGCATTAATAACCACTATAGCCTTAGCAACGACAATACTCTTAAGAACATCTTTACTTCCTACCCAGACCGGTTCTATCAAGTTACTCGCCCCTACGGCTCGCGCGGGAATAACGCAGTACCTATCAAAATACAGGATAACCATAAAATCTTTCTACACCGGTCATTTCCGACGAATACTACTCAAACTTATCAAGTAACTATGCCAATACTTAGCCCGGAATACGGCCTACTCCCATCGCATCCTACCTACAAATCTACTTCATAAGACAAAGAGCATCGACCTATATAAGCTACCTCTATACAAAATTTCGTATCTACATTACGCCTAATAAAGGAAGTAATGGGGGAAGGCCGGCAACTAACTAAAGAACTGCTTAATTCTTTTGAACGAGTTCGACGATAGCGATAAAGATAGGGTTATTCACCACACCTATCTAATACGTCTACGTCACCACCCCTACCACCATATTCCCCTCCTTGCAATACGAGGTATCTTTCTACCGATTCTCAAGTAAACTCGCCAACTTCATTACTACGAAGTTCCTACTCCCCAGGTCAACGCTCGTCTTCGCCTCTACCCGACCCGATACCAGACCCACAGATTCCTAGCAACCCAGAGCCCATAGTCGATGCCCTATTCGACCGAGTTAACGCATTTGCTAAAGAGAACGGGTTTGGCATTATACGTCGATATGGATATATATATAAAGGCAAAAAGATAAGATATACGTTTCAATACGACCGCTTTAGTAAACCGCGGCCTACTAAGGGTGCGGGGTTACGCCAACGAAAATCGCAAAAGTGTGGCTATAAGTGGATGATCATTGCTGAGACGAAGGAAGAGGGTGCTTAGCTTTTACAACGGCATGCTAAAGCCGAGCATGCCCAACATAACCACGGGCTAAGCCTCAGTTCCTCGGCATATCCTTCGCATCGGAGGCTTACACCACTAACTAAGAGTACTATTAAAGCCACCAGCCGCCGGGTTGGTATTAAGGCCTGCGACGTTCGTGCTATCATTCAGGAACAATTCCCAGATTCCGTGTTTACTCAACGGGATAACTATCTATAATGCTAGAGCCATTATAAACAGGGAGAAATTAGACGGCCACTCGCCAACAGCCGCTCTGATAAAGCTCTTCGACGAGCGAGAGGTACCCTATATTATTAAGTGGGCTGATGACGAGCCTAACCGGCTTGTTGGCTTAGTATGGACATTCCTATTTTGTCTCTCAATGTGGAGGCGCTTCCCGGAGGTAATTAGCTTTGACAATATATATAACATAAATCGCTTTAAGCTTCCGCTGTTTCAAGCCACTGGCTAGACATGTACTGGATCTATTTTCAACGCAGCATTCGGCCTTATTAATAACGAGAGATTGGAAGGGTTCCAGTTCCTCGTAGAAGGCATCCGTCAACTAGTTAACCAGCATTCGATTCGCTTACCAAATGTCATTATTACCGACTATGATAAGCAGATGAAGGCCGCCTTAGCTTACGAGTTCGCCGACGTACAGTAACAACTTTGCATCCACCATATCAACTCCAATGTTATGCTTAGGGCTAAGCAGAAGTGGGTAAAGGGAAAACGGCTAGAGGGTGCCGGCAGTAGCTCGGACCACGAAGACGACAATGAGCCCTCGAGAACACTCATAACGGAATTAAGCGACGAGGACTAGGCGTATATCCACACGCCCATCAAAGATTCAATCCCCCATATATATCTCGGAGTCTTTGCAATGTGTAAGCTCGTTATCTTTGCGGAGACCGAGGTTGCTTATGAGAAAGCATGGGCTAGTCTCTGTAAGGAGTTCGATAACCAGCGGCCAATATTACGTTATCTTTACGGGACATACCTTCCCGTTAGAGCTTAGTGGGCTCGCTGCTATATCCAAAAATATCAGAATTTTGGTATTTGCGTCACCTCAGGGACCGAGTCTAGTAACAATAACATCAAAGGCTATCTCCTCAATGGCCTGAGTCACTTATACCGACTCGTTGATGTTATGTAGGATATGATTCGAGACCAAGAGTTACGGTTTATGCAGTCCTGTGTAGAGGATGAGGTGCTAACTGCCCATCAATACGCTGGAGCTAGTTCGGAGTACCTAGGTGAACTCCGAGGTATGCTTTCTTCAAAGTGCTTAGGGTTGATTGTAAAGCAATACCAGAAAGTAAGGACAGCATTGCCGACCGGCAATCATCTACGGCCCCCTCCTATTAGAGATTGTATAGACGACTGTTCTACCTCGGTAGAGCTGGGTATTCCTTGCTACTATATAATCTACGTAAGGCTTATAGCTGGGACGTCTTTAACGAAGTGGGACGTCCATCCTCATTGGAGACTAAGGGAAACATCCTCTAGAGATCCATACCGTCGGATTCTAGACCCTAAGATTGTTACCTCCCTCCGTGGTAGGCCGAAGAATATAGCACAGCCTGTCCCTGCTCGATTAGCCGTACGAGAGGATAATAGTCTAGGGGCTCAGCGCAGAAAAACGCCACCGGTAGCCTTAAAGATAACTCGGCGAGGCCGTCTACTAGGAAGTCGTAATAAAGCGACTATCGTAAGGCTTACATAAGAGGTAAGGCAGTAAGAGAGTAACTAATATGCGGCCTTATTATAGCTACATACTAGAAGTTAGTCTAGCAAACTCGGTACAGGGAGATCTATAGGAGTACGAACTAGTGGACGGGTATTATAAGCGAGCATTCGAAGGAGGAGGTGCGAGTCGGAGATGTTGATTAGTAGCAGTGACGAGGCCGTCCCTCAACGGACACGAGCATCCAAATAGGGCTTTAGTAGGATCTAGTATTCATCCGCTACATATTTACTTACGAATATCCACATTATAATAAAGAGATATGGAAAGCGAAGTAAACAAAGTATGAATAAAGTCGATCATATGGAGATGTATCTAAAGTAGGCTCAGTGAGAGATACAAGCGCTCGGGAAGAAACATGCAGGTAAAACTCAGACACAGAATGCCGTGCTATTGGGATGCTGGCTGACAGCTTGCTAGCGAAGAACTTTGAGTAGAAGCAAGGGTTTTTATATAGAGAGTGGAAGCTAGAGACGGGCGTAATACAATCTAATATAAAACTATTAAGATGAATACTGTTACGGCCAGCTAGTCGTAGGGGTAGTTTGCAGAAGTTGAGGCTGCGGAACTGGTAACAGTAATCGTAGTCGTGGAATAGTTTCAAGGAAACTATGTCTGTCAATCGTAAGGGTGGGTAAGGCTTCGGTGATCAATCGTAGTCTTGTCAAGGTAGTAGCTGAAAGCGGATGTTAATCCTGATACGAAGTTAATTGCTGAAGAAGCTATGGGAAGTCTGTCCTAGAGTCCGGCTCAAGTCCATCCTATATACAAGTCCTGATTCTGAACATGTCCTTTGTGCTGGACAGTGTCCTTGTTTGGATATGTTGGATAGCTCATATCCTGGTTATCCAAGGATCGCTTGTGATGATGTATTTAACGTCTGGTAACAAAAGGACGTGCCGGGCGCTATGCCGACATGGTCTATACTAATCTAAACTATATTACAGGCTACCGTCTTCACCTAACGTTCCTGTTCAATGACTCGGGCAAATTTCGGAAAAGAAATTAGTCTCCTCTATCCATTCGCATAGAAGAGAGGCTCCCTTAGCAGAACCTAACAAGAAATCAATGCTTGCTTTGGCCATCCAAGGATCGCTTGGATAGCTCATATCCAACATATCCTTATCCTTATCTCTTATCATCACGTGACTTGTCCATAGTTCTTCCGTTCCGTGAGAGGGTGCCTAGTGTTCCTTGTCCTCTGCATACATGGTGCGCTGTAGCCGCCGCGAGCCTGCGGGGTAGGCCTTGTTCTTGGTCATGCATGTTGGGTCGTAACACGCATCTAGCAGGTTGGCCAGCTTATCGTCGTTAAAGAGTAGCACGAGATACATTATAGGTTAATGCGCTTTTCGTACGCTTAATTTTGGATTAGATTAGAGCGCATTAAGCGCCAAAACCAAATCGCTTTCATTTAAATATCGCACCATGGTTATAGGTGGAGAAAAATAAAGGGAGAGGTAGGTTATACGAAATCAAAGAAAAGTAGCTCACTCGCTTGTGTGGCTCACTCGCTTGTGAACTACGTTATATAAACTGTTATTTTTACGATTCTGACGATGGCGATTACGTCTCTTACTATATTCCTTGGATATATACTTTTCCCACCTTTCCTTATAACAACTATTTAATAAAGTAATCTTCTTACCAATAGTCTGACTTCCCTTAGTCCGCAAGGGGGGAGAGGAACAAGTCGTCGTCGTCGTTCTATTTAACGCCATGGCGGCAAGGGCGCAGCCGCCCTTGCGGCAGACCTCCCGGAGGGTATGTGGCGTGAAGGGTCGCAGGCTCTAGCTATATACTATATAGTACACGCCGTATCCTGACGTCCTCCAAATCTTGCTCGTGAGCTACTATGTGTTCTATCCATCCCTAGTTCCCACTGGTGCCCTAGTTCCGTTATAACCCTCTGGTTTCTTAATAGAGGTAGTTTGTCGTTTGGAGGATAGGTTATGACCTATCTCCTAGTACCGCGGGCAGATCTTCTGGAAGAAGTCTGTCACGCAGAGGAAGGCCTGGAAGCCTTCAGAGTCAGTGATTAGCCCCTTGAAGTAACGATCGAGGGACCCTATAGGTCCTACGGGCTCCTGGCGGCTGTAGGGGTAGAGGGTGGGCTACTGTTGCCTCCTCAGTAGGATCTTTCGGCAGTAGACTAGATGGTCTGCCTCCTTAACCCACCCACAGGAGCAGGTGAGTAGTGCTTCTGTGTGGTTAAAGCGTTGGTGATATTGTTTAAAGTCCCCGTGGCCTGACCGTGCCGCGAGGAGGAATGGGAGCTAGAGTGGATATAGACATGCAGTTTGCTCAGTACTTTAGCGACCATAATAGTCCGTCTAGGGCCTCTGACCATTCTCATGTTGCCGACTTAAGTAACGTTACAAAATGTCCATCATTAAGCCACACGATTCCATGTCCTGTAGCGACCACTCAAGAGGTGTAACATAAGTAATATCTACTGCCCGGTCTAGATCAAAATCGTCCTCTCCAATAAGAATCGTATCGCGGCCTACGCCCGAAGTTACGGTCCCGACGACCCGTCCTGCAATATCAAATACACAAGCGCCTGAGTCGCCGCATCGGCTGAAAGATGCGTCCACCTTCCTTGCATCTGCAAGTATACAGAGTTCTGTTGCAATGAGTGTAGGCGTGCCATCACAAACCTTCCGCCTTACCGATTTGACTTGGTTAACCTCCCCAAAGGTAAGCCCGGATGAGCGGCCTCTCTTTCCGACAAAGAATGTCTTCGAATCCTGGCGACTAAACGAATTGAGAGTGGCGTGACGGGAATCAAGTGTTTGGGTGAGCTCTGCTAGCGTCGCCATTCCTCTGAGCCGTAGTGCGTGATCATCGTCCAGCATTGCGATCTTTGTTGCCGAGTTTTTCAACCGGAATCGGTCGTACAAGTCTTCTCCGTCAATTAATACACGGTTAGCGAGGGCGCTGATGTTTTCGTGGGCCTCCGGATCGAGGCGTATAAGGCACCAGTCGCTAAGCTCCTGATTACCTCGGATCTTGTACGCTCGTGTATACGGAATGGACCCGATGATACGCGATTCGAGCTCTTGACGCTTCTTAAAGAGCTCAAATGCTTGAGTACTGTCACGTAACATTTTGTTTTCCCTGTCGAGCTCTTTCTGCTTCCTGGAATCGTCCCAGAAAACCGTTGATCCCCACTCGTTAGCATTTGTTCCTTCGCTTTGTAAGCTGTTCTTGACGGCCTCGATTTCTTTGGCCTTCATGGTGAACGTCGTTTCTCCTGGTTGGACGACCTTCTTTTCTGGTGCTGCTATGCTCCCTGGTAGCCACTCCTCCCGCTCGCTTTCATCAAAGCATACATGCCGGCATGTCAAGACGTAGACTTCTTCCTCAGCATCGGCATCGGTGGTCGCAAGAGCGGCGGAACAGGGTTTACGTCGAAGGTAGAGCCCTTTTGTTCCTTCTCTGGTTGGCCAGTCACTGGCGGCTATACTCGTTCCTAGCTGATCAGAAAGTGGATGAAGTAAAGTACCGCTGGCGAAGTTGTCCTGGTGTATGACGCAAGGAAATTTTCTTCTTGTGAGGTTGAAAACGTGACTGCGTCGAACTTCGCAATGTACGTCGTGTAACCCGTGCTGCTCGAGTACTGTCCTGCATTGCATGGCCAGGCTAATGCCTTGCTCCCATGTAGAACTGCCTTGGCCTACAGCGATGCATAGAATGACGGGAAATACGTCTTTGTCCACATAGCCAATACGAAGGATGTCGATAGTATGCCAGTCGGCCTGTTCTGAGTGTAGTATGTTGATCACTTGCTGCCGGAGCGAGTCGGGGCCCGTCTCGTCATTCCACTTTGGTACAATTGAATGCTCTCCCACGGCTCCTACAGTCTTCTCGACTGGTAGCCATCCCTGCATGCGACGGCTCCATGTGTGTGTGCTCGACCTCGCTACGAGCTCTGGTCGCGAGGGAAATCCATGGTAATAGAATTTTCGTTCATCGTTTGTAGGTACCAGTGGGAAGTCGTCCATATTATTCTATAATACGTTGTTTACCCGTATTTGTGGCTCGGAATTATTACCGAAGGGATCGCTTGTAGACGGTGCAGATGACCAGGAAAGGCTTTTAATATGCTTTGAACGGAGAGGTGTGGCGTACAATGTCTTAGGGGGCTGCCCGACCAGAGCGGGGACATGTGCCATTTTTGTAGCCTATAATCGAGCTTTCTCCGTTAGTAAGTAGACAGCAGAGTAGAGAATCAAACTTATGAAGTACCGAAGGTGGATGAACCTAAAAAGGTACAGGGAGCACCTTTTGGTTTCCAGGTTGACCGTCCGATGACATGAATTCATAGGCGGCGGAAGCAGGAAGCCCACGAGCTGAGGATGGAAAGATCGTTTTCTCGTCAACAGGCGGCGGGAACTCAAGGCTGAAATTGGAGATGGTAGAGACTCTAGCATGTCCAAGTGACCAGGCGCTGCCTTAATCTTGATGAGTCTGGCCAACTCGCCATCTCGCCGTCCTTCCGGCTGTCCTTTCTCCCACTTCCATATCACTCTTCAGCCAACTAGCACCAGTTACCTTACTCACTCACACCTTACACCTGCCGATAAATCATTCCTTCTCTTCGGAATGCCATGGCACCCTCATGCTCAACTACACCCGTCAAGCCTCACCCGGCTTCCCTTATCACCTCAACTTCCCCGGGCCCATCGCGGATCTACAGCGGCATCAAACCACCCCAATAGGGTAACTACGCGATCGCACCGGCCCAGGTCAACGACAAGCAACTCAACTCCATCTTTCTCATAGGTGTTCTGATGATCTAGTAGAGGGAGTGTGATTAGCCCATCTGCAAAAGGCCACGTTGTCTCTTATTCTTTCATACACTAATCTCTTGTAGGAGGCAGATATGGGAGCAAAGGCAGAACCATCTATCGTCCAAGACACAGCACGTCCTATCCCGAGCGTCATGCGTGCAAGCACTTGTACCAGTGGCGGGCACGACAAAAACACAACGCCCTCGGGATACGTCGGGGACCTACGGAGGTGTGGCCTGTGTTTTCGGCGCGTCAACCCACACGCCGCGGCCGGAGCCTGGTCACCTGCGTCTATGTGGATGGAGGTCGCGCGAGGGCAGTCGGAGCGCGCGGTACTTGCATTCCACTATCCGTTGTTCACAGACAGCGCCAGGGTCGGGGCGTGTGTTCAGGAGCGGCGGCCGCTGGCGACCTCCTGCATCTCCCCCGCCGCACCAGAGAAAATCCAACTTCTCCATGTCAGGCATCTCGAGCACCTACATACAGTACATGGACGGCTTGGTATTCAAGTATCTCTGGTAGAGACTTCACCGCTTCTGCCAGTGCCGCCAGCTCTGCTACGTACGGGTTCTGCTCTGATCTCAGACCGAGTGTGCGTGAGGCCGTCATGATGCCGCCACCTCCTTTCACTGATAGAGGCAGCGTTGTAGCTGATCCATACCCCATCAAAACCCTTCAATCCTTTCTTCACCAAGTTCGGGATGGATTACCTGATAACAACACCCTGAGAACGAAATTAAGCCAGACCAGGATCTTACTTCAGGATCCACCCTACCCAAAAGATGTTTCTCAACCATCAAAGAGTCGGCATACTCACGCTCAAATTCATCTCAACAAGATACAGGAAGATTTCGGAAATCCCTACTAATACTTTTGTTTGTATGGACTCACCGTGACACCACTGCACAAAAAGTCTTTCTACGAGGCTCTCCGAGAGTGGATAAAGAATAACAAACCCGAAATACCCGACGACTTCACACGAAAAGCCAAGACCCTGGTTGATGAATTGAGTAATTCGGATGACGCTCCCAATAGGAAACGTCGGCGGTATGACACAGGAGAGGACTCGACTGGTAGTGCTACACCTACCCTGAAGCGAGTCAGACAGGACCAAGGGTCAAATATAATGTCTGTCGAGAGAATCCTCACACAATCCTTCCCAGACAAAGATGAAGGTACTCCTGTGACCACCGAAGGCTCAGAGCACAGCGAACTTGGCGCCAGTGACGACAGTGATGACAGAGACGACGAAGAGAAACCTTCCGAGCCAGAACCAGCTCAACCAGCTTACCCAATTCAACCGGTTCGTCAAGATCAACCAGTTCCAGGTAGAACACTTATCTCTGCTCTCTAAAAAACTCACTAACATTCATGGCTTAGTTTCTTTAAGTGGCATAGTGTACGAGGTGACTGCAATCGAAGGCATTCATCTACTTTCAGATAGTATGTTTGAGGGTGGTGGCTCACTAACGATCCCCACACACGAGGGAGCATCTCCATTCATCATGTTCAAGATTTCGGGGAAAACCGCCATGCACTTAATACGGAGGAAGACACGGGCGAAGTTGAGTTTTTGAGAGATCTTCGGCTTAGGAGATGACTCTCGATATAGAAAAAGTGGTAATAGCCTCAGGAAGGCTACGAAGCCCCCCGCCGGGGACTAGGGTTTCTATCAGATAAGACTATCCGAATATAAATATAACACCTATATCTCCGAATATTCCGATATCGGATTCCAAAAAGAACACACCGACTTTTTTTTCTATCATCATCATCATAATCATCATTATGGATTGATCAATATACACTCATTCAATTATCCTCCATATTGACTGTCTCATACACACTCTTGTGATAGTTTCCCCGCTTCCGAGCCATCCTTGGTGCTTAGCACAGAGTATATCTCCTCTGAGGCGTCCGCCTTCATTCATAATATAACTTGCGACCTATGTTGGCCCCCGCAAGTTAGGGTGAACAGTCTTCAACAGCTGTAACTTCAGCAACTTGACATGTCGTCCCATAACAAATATACTTCAGTCCGGCCTTCCAAAGTATTATAACAGAAAATCCTCCGTAATCATCACTACCAACCATGGCGACTTGATCATCATTAGAGTCGTTGTACGTGCGGCTGAGGTATTGTATTGAGGCTTCGGCTCGAGAGCGGGCTGCTGGAGGGTTTTCTATGGTGAAGAAGGCTGTAGTTACTCGTGGGGAAGCAGTGCTAATGCAAGCGAGGTGATACAAATATGTACAGCAGCACAACTCAAATAGACTTCCTAGTCTATCTCATCTATGCCCTCACATCTAGTTTCAGTCAGTAAGGCGTCCTCGTTTGCAAGCAAGCTTAGTTCGGGTCGGTTGATAGTAGGTTTAGGCAAGGGGACCGTCTAAGTGGGTGCTATTGAGTGGATTCTCGTTTTATGTCACTTATTTATGTTCGTCCAGTTGTAATTCACATACAAACCGTACCTATGGATCCAGATCACTCTCAGCCTAGTGACAGAATCCATGCATGCTTCTACGCGAGTCATGGACATAACCCATTCGGAATGGTCTGACCATCACGAAACAGGCCAGACTGTCATTTCCACCTGGTCCTAGCTCTGCAAGACTTATTAGGATAGCATTAGGCCCACAAGCCTGTGGTGATTCCATCCACTCTTTAGTACGAATAGACGCTCTTTTCTGCTCACTCATATATGCATATTCCGCTGGCCACCCTGACTAACCGTCAGATTCCATGTGGTTTTGCTGCCCAGCACTGCCGGCGGCAACGTAAGATAGGCAGCATGCCAGCAAGGTTGAAACCTTGCTAAAGATTTCCGCGAAGATTGCCCCGAAGGCGACAGTTAGACTTCAACACTACCTTCTCCCCATCAGTTGTGAACTTGTGCTGCTTGGCAGTGCGCATTGACAGGAACTTGCCGCGACGAATTTTGGCAAAGTGTTGTCAGCCGTTGGCTACGGACTACCGGCTGGCCGCACGATATTGCATGAATCAGCTTCTGTTATAAGACAACGACGCCGTACGTGGGGACAGAGCTTTCAACACCTATCCCCTAACAATACTCCTCACCTCTTTAGGCATGTTAAATCTTGCATACCCCACACCTGTCCTCACTCAGCTTACACTCTTAGCAGTATTTACACAGTTAGAATATGAGTTTTCGCAAGAGCATTTTACAGGATTGACACAAGAGGCTTCCAACATTACACCCTCCCTAGTTGTTGCGTTTCCTGGTTTAGTTCCCGATGACAGCATGCATTGTCCCAGGATCATCATTAGGTGGACTTGGGGTAAAAAGCACTTATCACTAACACCTCGCGCTTTGTTTGTTATATGATTGAGGTTGCTCTCTCTTGCGCGCTTTACCTGCACAGCCTTTCCAGATCCCGCCAGTGGGTTCACAGGCGCTATCGTTTTCTTGAGACGCACACTTATGAATCATGGCAGTCGATGGGTTTATAACTAGCTAGACAGCATACCTGGTCTTAGCCGCTTTTGTCGTAGCGCGAGGTTCAGAAATAAGATAAGCTTAGCCGAAGGACGTGATGCAATCTGCGCGTTGACACGCGTACGTCACAGCACTCACCTCCAACCGCTTACCTAGGTTACGAAATCTCTCAGAAGTTGACTTGCGACGCAGTGGTCCATTATTCAGCACAGAGACGAAATGGTCGGAGTGGGAGGGAGAAGTAAAGCTTGTGACCATTGTCGGCGTCGGCGCGTCAAGTGTGGTAAGGCCATCCTCTCCACTGTAGTTGGCTCACCAGTCAATCCTCTAATCTAAGTCACTCGACTCAGATCTTGCCGCGCCCGAGTGCGCACGATGCGTCAAGGCGCATTTGAAATGCGGGGGCTGCCGCGGCCTCAGCTTCATCCAATACAATGGGCACAGAACTACTCACGATGCCACCGATGTCAGTGACATGTCTCGGGCGGCATCGATCACAGGGTCGAAGACCACGGCGCACTTGGCTATAACGCCACGGAGGCACGAGATTATTCCAATACAAATTGCACAACCATACGTGACGCCATGGTCTATGGACGATGTTTACGCCTCGTACGCGATGGATCACCTGCTGCATGAGAGCGAGGAGGTTGTGGTAAAATCTGGCACGAATCGGACATTGACCAACCAGTGCTTTATCGCACTTTCTACTACCATTTTCGGCATCGATCAGAAAGAGCCACAAGTTTTGCAACATGGCCTTCACAGATATGGTACTGCGCTCAAGGCTCTCAACAGGGCGCTAAGCGACCCCAAAGAAAGTCGATCTTTCGATGTCCTAGAGGCCATCATTGTCATGGCTGTTTTCGAGGTGAGTGATCCTGACTCGCGCTTGACTCCAGATTATGATGTAAATCGATGGTTCTAGATCCTGTGACTAATTGCTGAGGGTCAAGATGATCGCTGGAAACCGTGAAGACGGGTGGATAGAACACGCGCGGGGCCTTGAGAGGCTTCTCGATTTCCGAGGACCGAAATCCATGCAGCCACTGCCATGCTTGGTACTGTTGGAGAAGGCTCGGCCGTCAATGATATTTGCTGCTCTTGTCACCCGCAAAAGTACAATTCTTTCAAGGGCTTTATGGAAAGGTCTTCCATGGATGCAAAACCCCGAACGGAAGAACCCACTTCAACTGCTTCTTGATGTCGTTGCAGACTGTCCCGAACTCTTTGTTCTGCGAGAGAACATTTTCGGTAAAACGGAAGGGCTTCCTTGCAAATCATCGCTACTATCTCTACTAGAAATGGCGCAAAGGGTTCTAAACGACCTCGAGACATGGGAGAAATCCTGGTCATCAACCGAGTTGGATCAATATGACCTAGTTTCAGCGCCGGCCGCTACTACACCAGTGCGCTCTGGATACGAAGGGTCCTGTGGACCAGTCTGGAACACCGTTTTCATGTTTCACAGTCTTTATAATGCCAGTATCTCAACTCTGTTTCACGGAACCTTGATCTTACTGCTACTCCTGATCCACAGTTTGCGGCTTGCGCTACGAGATTCAATAGATCATGGGATCGAGCCTGAGCCCATACCAGTCAGGATACATGAATCTGGCATTCATATATGTCGCAGTGTGGACTTCCACCTCGATAAACTGCGAGATATTGCAACTTCATCAGTCCTATTTCCAATCAGAATGGCTTATGAGGCTGTTGGAAAGTCGGACGAAGTTGTTGGGCTGTGGCTCATGTTCCAGCTCAAACACATTTCAGCCGGCTCTACTGGGAGATGGGCCATGGCTCGACACGTGCTCTGCTTGAACCCTGTTTCAAACATCACGTCAAATAGGCTGATACGCGACTACTCGAAATGATGGACTGGATGATATTCAGTTCATTGGCCTTGGGGGGGTTGCTTGCCATTTCCTCGATCATTCTAGTCCGTCCAAGACTCTATCAATAAAAACTCAATCTTCTCTGCCTTCTTCCTGTCTTTTGCATGACTCTTGCTCCTTTTCTCTGCAGCTGTTGAAATAGCCTTTTCCTCGTGCCCATCCAGTCTCTGGCACTTTTTCTCGGCTTTCCTGATTTTCTTCTCTTTCTTCCTCTTGATTTCTTTGGACTCCAATGGCCCTGTCCCTTCCAATTTCTCGGCGGCCTTCCTCTCGACCTTTTCCATTTTTCGTTGCCTCTTGTTATACCGCTTTTCCATCTTGAGTACCTTTTTGTCATTGAGGCTGCCATCTAAGTATTCAACATATTTAGATTCGTCGCGCGGCTGGTCTTGGTTGCTTTCTCTGACTTTGCCTCGTTTCTTTTCCGTCTGCTTGTCTTTTTTCTTAACCGCACGCTCGATTTGTTTTTCGGTCATTCTGTCAACGAGATTTCGCTCTTTGCTGGGAGGCGGAACTTCAAAGGTGAGAGGAGCGATGTATGGCTCAAGAGTTCGCATTCGGCGGTCTTGTAAACTCATTTCACATGTCTCTGGTGTGGTGAGTCCACGCATGAAGATGGTCAGAATGATAGAATCGTTGCTCTGATTACAGAAAAACTTACGAGAGTTCGGGGAGCTGCTCACCACAGCCCAACTTGGCGGCCAGACTTTTGGATTTACATATCGACGCTTTGAGGCCTCTGGGCTCGAAATAGTCACGGTTGGCCTTGTCCAAGAACACCTTCGTCCGAATTATTCGTGTGGCAGCTGTCCCCAGCCCAGCAGTCACATTTGCTATGCCTCCTGCCAGTTGCGCCCAATGATTGGGTCTAGGAGTGTTAACGTCATTCATAGTACTATGAGGGAAGCGTGGACACGGCTTACACGAGCCCTACAATGCTACCGGCCGTGTTTAGCATCGTCAAAGGAGCAGGCGGCCCTTGGGCTACAGTCAAATTGTCCAGAAATGCGACGAAGTCTTCTTCGTAAATTTCGTGAGCCCGTAGTCCCTGGCTGTATGCTCTCATGAAAGGCAGTGGGACTTTGAGGGGGCGAGCAAAATCTACTCTGGGGATAACGACTGGTTTCTTTGAGTCGTCAGCATCAGGCAGGACACAGCTTTCAGATAGGTGAGAGGAACTGTACTCACTTGGAGTAGACCCCACGAGCGCCCAGGGTTGCTGAGCTGTCGAGGTATCCAGCTTGTTTTGGGTTCAACCTCACAATCCTCATCTCGGTCAGAGGAGTGAAGAGACATCATAGCCACAGAGAGTGCTGACGAATATCGCGAACTCAATGAAATGGAGCCAGAAGATGCCGATTCTATTGATAACTTCGGCACTTCATCGGGATTAATCGCGGAATATGGAGGGGGTGCAGCACCATGACTGGCGTTCATAGTTAGGAGACTGGTCGAGTCTAGCTGAATGTTGCCCATGTTTGATGTTGATATGGGAAGGTGCGGGTTGTGTATACACTAGGATTCGTCTTCTGTCGTCTGAAAGGGATAATATGATATGATACGATGAGTATAGTGTTGGCTGGGACCCAAGGATTTTATAACATGACAACAAAAGAGGCTGATGCTAAAAGCTTCGCAAAGACGTAATAAGGCCACATATGGACTAGTAGACGATACCTAATTCCTTTCATTCCACGAGATGACTGCCATTGCTATCTGGAACTTTGGCTGTCTAACAAAAGTAAATCGTGCTAAAAGCCCGAAGAACCGCCATTGACAGCAATGTAAGCGATCATCATCCTTCGGCATTCTCGCAGGATGACTTGGGCTGCTGATCAATTGCCAGATATGGCGCATTCCTCGAAGGACTACAAATTCCCGCTATTCCCAGCTCCCACCGGCGATCAATCTTCGACCATACTACATTAGGGACATTCCTCGAGGTTGCAAGCAACTAATTGATTCGCACGGTGACGCACTAGCACTATTCCTGAGTTCTGGTACGTAGCGTTGTAGTTTACGCGCTTGCATCGGCGGGAGTGTCCTTGATCTCATAGCAAACAACGCGAATAAAAAGTTAAGATAATGCTTTCGATAGAGCCTCAGCTACGGGCCAATTTACCTCGACAAATCTTCAGTTACTTTTCACTTGTTGTGCTAGCCCCTTCGTCCTCCCATGTCACCGCGATTGGGTCGTGATTTCCCGAGAACTTCTGGCCTGCAAACCAAAGCTCAAATCGCAAGTCGGCAGGCGCAACAATGACTCGTATATCAAATTGACATATGTAGAACTTGAAACCGCGGGAGAAACACGTACCCCTCTTCTCTTTGAGGATCAGCTGCTCCTGTTGTACGCCCGTGAGATTGCTCTTGACTTCGCAAAGCTTCGATGCTCCAGCTGTGTATACAAATCAATAATTTTCTCTCAAATGTCGTCAAGTCTGCCTTGTACCGCCCAAGACTCACCGTGCTTCATACTGCTCGGCAGAAAGGACACCTCATTGTGGGAAACCACAATTTTGGCGTCCCATGACCTAGTCGTCTCCGCCGCTTTGAGTCGAATATCAAATGACTTCACCAAGGGCTTGCTTGGATTGATGACATCCCCCTGCGGTCATGTCAGCGCGCTTATGATTCTTGTTGTGGGACTATGGAACTAACCTTCCGAATGAGCCATTCTATTTGATTGATGGCCCACTTCTGTTTCTGTTCGAACGAATCATCGACAATGTCCTCGTTAAAATGTTTAGCTGGCGAGTATATCTCACGGACGATGATTCCGTAGCTGGCTCGGGCTATCCGCGTAGCCAGTACGGCCAGATTGCCAGACTCCATCTTTTGCTGGTGATCGAGAAGCAAACCCCGCACGACCACGAGTTGAGGGTCTTGGCAGGGAATAACTGCAATCTGGCTCGCATTCGGGTGTGGGTAACTGGTGAACTGTTGCTGGAGCCTATCTCGAACATATGCAGAACTTCCGAGGCCACCGGACAAAACCATATGATCCTGTCAAAGTCAGACTTTCTATCTTGTCCAATATCACAATGCTTGAGCCATACGACTTGCTGAGGCTGGCCATTTGCGCCTAACCAATCCAGTTGTTCCTTAATTCTCCTCAATATGCCTTCGATTTGGACTTCGAATAGCGAGCTTATCTCTTCCCTGGATCCTTTGTCAGTCAATCTACAAGTCTGCCAGTAAGAAAACCAAGCTACTTAGAGAAAACCATCCTCCCATTTTCAACCCGTAATCCAGGATGACTGAAGTCATGAGAAACACCCTCCATCTGGATCTTGTAGACGGATTGCATGTACGCTCTCTCTCCGAATTTGTGTTTCACCGTCCGGAAATGATGACTCCTCGCCATTCTATTGGCAAAATCGATCGGCAGTCGAGCGTGGGCATCAGGGCAGGTAGCTAGTCGTTGAGCTACCAATCGAACAAAGGCCCTATCAATGAGGGATGCACCAATGCCAACTCCCCTCACAGCTGCCATTTGCGACATTTGCGGGAAATTGCCATCGGTTGATGTTATTTGCATCAAGGCTAGGTCGGTGGTTCCACCACCTGCGTCGACCGTCAGAAAGAGGTTCCCCAGCTGAAACTCTACGGGGCTCGTCTTGAGAGTTGCGACTGCAGCTGCTTCTGCCTCTGTCAAGTCAACCTGCGCCATATGATCAGGTCCTTCGATGCCAAAGCCGGCATTGCTTATTGCATTCTTGAAAGCGTTGACGACTCCCATTTTGGTCCACGTCGTCGGTGCGCTGAATAAGAAGGTCACTGCCATACTCGCCCAACCACCAAAATGACGTCGACCGCACTGAGTTTCTATACTCTCTTTGATGTGTAGATATACCTGTCTCAAGTAGTCCGTGATGAATCTTTGCGCGTCCAAAGTTCTACGAGGAACATGTTCAAGGCCTTGCTTCTGCGCTGCTGCCAAGGTTTCGTCGTCAAGAAAGATCTTGAAGAACTCACGTCGAGTCTTGCCGGGCACATTCTCATCGTCGTCTGCACACATGAAACCCCATGAGGAAAGACTACCGTCTGCGTTGTAGATCAGAGTTGTCGGAACTTTTCGTTCTCCACGATCTCCGCTTCCGGGCCAATCGTTAATGACTTGAATCGGTGTTCTCGGTGTCATCCAGGCAACCCCTTTCAACGTCAGCAAATTTGTTGATGCTGGAGTTGGAGAAACCTACCAGTATAAGTGGTGCCGAGGTCAATGGACACAAGGATTTCAGGTTTACCAGTCATCGTAAGAGTCGCACCTGATGGCGATGCAGAGATCAAGCTGAATTTCAGTGTGTTGAAGCTTTCCTTTCAAGGAGTAATGACGAGGTAAGTCTCAGGGCAGCAGACGTCTTTGAAAGAAACGTACGACTCTTTCCATTCCAACGGGGAAAGCCCGGGGCCAGTAGGCAGAAGGCAGAGAACTGCGTGTTGGGCGTACTTATTCACAGCCTGAGGTTGTCGCCGCTTGGCTTGCATCAAGCCCCGGCTCAGGCAGGAAGGCTAGCTGCATGTAGGTGGCCTGGTTAATTTACGCTTTCGCTTTCTTCGGGATCCCAGGCTCTCGCTCTGCACTTGAGGAAGGCCTTCTGACGTCTGCTCGAACCAATATAATGCAGTCAGATTCTATTAGGGTAGATCCATGCTGCAGACTGCCGCGCTATCACGAGGCTGCGGCCGCCGTAGCGATTCAATGGCACTAATCCATCTCCTGATACCGTGAAGCTTTTTTCGGTTGGCTGAGATTGATAATTGACAGGACCACGACGTTTCGAAGGGGTGCAGATAAGACAATTTCGCACCCTACTACCTACCCTGTCAGCTTCTGCGCCTCAGCCTGCCTCTCAACCCATCTGTTTTCACATCCGACCGACGTGTGGATTATTTGCCTGAAATGGCAGGTATTGCGCACTTGACGCAGGGTAAGGATGTCTGTGGTTCTCCGTGTGAAGGTGTCATCTCTACTTACTCAAGCGTGGCGATAAAGCAATACTATTGTGTGTTCATTTCGGGCGGTATTTGAGCTTGAAAAGCCCACTTCACCACCGTTGTCTCTCATCTTGCGCTCCTACTCCCCTTTTTCTCTCGATACGGGGACTTCCTGCTCACGATAGTCAAGATGTCTAATTCCACCTCAGTTGGATCAAGCCAGCTTACAGCTACGACTTTAAATCTAGTCGATACACCCGTTGCGACAATCAACTTGACATTACCTGGGACCCAGCCTCGTACCGACGCAGGCACACCTACCCAAGTAGCCAACACAACACTCATCGCTATCCCATACCTAAACGCGAATCCACAACCATCCATCGCAGTGGCAATCAATGTCGTCGAGTATCCTTTGGCTCTCACTACCAGTACTACGTCAACCTCCAATTCGAGTGCTTCAACACATTGTCCCCGGCCGTCTCCATCTGGTATATCTTCAGGAACTATCGCTGGGGCATCTGTAGGGTGTCTCCTGGGTGGCCTTCTCATCGGAGCAATTGTGGTACTCGCGTTCTTGCGTCGAAAGCACCAGGAAGATGGAACGAATTTCAAGAAGGAGAAGCCTGTGCTGACAACGGAGTCAAAGATTTACAGCGAGCCTCGTTCTGGCCAGTCGAGCAACGACATTGACCTGAGCCAATTCCTCTTAGATGCAACCCCCGACAAGGAAATCGCCGATGAATTCCGTTCTTTGAGCGAACTTCTACGATCTCACATTGAGAACCACTATCATCTACAGCCGTTACACTCTCCGGCTTCTTCACTGGTCCAGAGCATTCGCGGACTGGAATTGCCCCAGGCTTCGGGGTCAACTCCCGAAAGTGTAGCCGCCATGTGTGCCAATCCGATCAGTCGACAAATCGGGCTTCAGCACATCGTTTCTACAACCATTCTCAACAGCGTGGACTTCCACTCAAAGAGCCGATTCTCTGTACTTCCTGAACCAGTGACAAACTTTCTCCGCTCTATTCCACAGGACAGCCAACACTACAACTCTAGTGGTGAGTATCAGCATGCTCCGGGCTCCCAGGGCACCAAGATTTCTGAGGCTAACTTCAGCAACTAGCGAAACTTTTTGCATTATCACAGTGGCGTAAACTGTCGGCGTTTCTATTGCATCCGAGTCGCAACCAACGAACTCCCCTTCCAATGGCCGACTCGGCGGCAGCCCAGCAGGCTACTGATCTCGCCGCTGTTCTTCAAGACTTTCTTAAACATTTCGTTCATACAGACCAGATCAGGCAGAGGGAACAGACGGATCACCTTCAGGCAGTGATTTTAGAATGTGCAAAGTTTGGTTGGTTGGTAATGTCGCAGCCCAGCGACTGGCATTTCATGTATGGCGAGGGTCAGGGAAACTCGGGCATGAGGATGCTGGTCGTGTTCCCTGGCCTTGATAAGTCAAGTGGCAAGGATGGAAAGTTGTACCGGTCACCTCATCAGGTCGTAGCACCTGTGGTAGCACAAGTTTGATTTGTTAGGTGGTTGGATGCGGCAGGCTACAGAGTCTACCAACACAAGTAAGCTACTTTAGGTACTCACATTTGTATCATGACTCGAACCAACATGCAGTGGGGTAAATGACAAAAGGACACCGCAGGGTGGTAGCTGAAGATGTGGACATTGTCTGCATGAGCTATCTTCTGCTCAGCCTGCTCTACCCCTTGAAAAGTACATACCATCACACAGATTCTGATGGAGACCCCTTGGACTGTCCAGCGATTAGCCTGTACTCCGTACTGTTGGTTGCGAAGTCTCCTTCCTTTTTTTCCTCAAGCGCCAATCAGGTTACTCATCACAATCTCAAGAGACAAAGTCCAACCGCCACTGCAATATTACTACATCCATGCTGGCTCTCCATCTCACCACCCGACCCTTCCTTCACCGCAGCTCATCCAGCCTAGCTGGCTTTTCACTCCATGTTCAGCCCCAGCCTGATGGTTCATATTTGGACAACTGATGTGACCAGAAGCTCGTCGTGATGTACTTCATGAGACCACAACGGAGTGCCCTACTCAAGTCGGTTAGTGACTAATTATCCAAGTTCACAGACCATGTCTGGGGGTAAGTGAGGGCAACTCCTTGTTAACATCACCGAGACCCTCGTGCGCCGTGGATCCACACGAGAAACGTGTCTCCATATGCTTGAAAGGGGCGGGTTCGTACCACAGCCTGCTTGGTACGACGATACCCTGGACCCAACAAGCGCTACGTCTCCCAACTTAGAACATGCGGCATGCATGCTGCAGTGCTGCTAAACCAGAAGACCTAGATCGATGCCGCGAGGTCCGTGACCACGTTCGAGCTCGGTACGAGCCCTTTCCGTCATCTCAAGCCAAGCACATTGTGCCAACAACTCTGTGGTATCGAGTGAGCAAGAAACATAGTCCATAGTGCCCGGGGCCCCCCTCGGGTCCCTTGTAATCATGTGAGCTTGTCCGAGACGCCTGTTTGAATCATGATTTGCTCCATCTTCAACAATTTCTTGATGCGACAGTTGACTGAACGCATGCAAAGTTAGGAGCACTATTGTTTGTCCATGGATCCTCTCAGCGCTCTACGTGCAACTTACTACATCGTTCTCTTTGGTATTGAACTGGATCAAGTCCCACTAGAAGTCAAAAACAGCTTGGAACTTGTACGTACCTGCCATACCGACTTGCAATATCTTATCGAAATCCGCAACGAGTTGCTGCCCCTTCTTCAGAGACGTCCCAAAGTTCTCGAGCGCGTCAACAGCATCGTCGAAACAACCCACAAGGGCCTGGTTGAGGTCTGTGAGATCGTGGAAAAAAGTCGTCCTCGGTTGAACAATGGAAGGACCCCGTTCAGGAGCAGGTTGTCCTGGATTCTACTCGACTCCGCCCAGTTCAAAGCACAAAGACCGGTCATCAGTCGGCACCACGCTTCTGTTCTAGCAGAATTGAACTTCCTGCGACAGATTGCGCTGCTCACACCGTCGCCTAAAAGTGTTAACAAAGGCGATGATGATGGCACCAAAAAATCGACGATGTTGTTTGATAACGTTGCACTCTTGGAGGACTTGATTGGGAAGGCCAATGTTTCAGGTACTAGACCTCTTTGTAAATCTGGCATCATCATTGACCTTGGCTTAGGATCCGCAATCTCACCACCAGCTTACCCAAACGACATCAAACCTCCCGAGCAAAGCCAACCACACGACTCAACAGCCAGCCGGACCCTCTTTGCTGTGCCCTCGAGGCCCTCTACCGTATTCTCGACCCCGTCTCCTTCATCGATACCTCGAGACTGTCCCAAACTCCCCACTGATTTTCTCTTTCCCTCATTATCAACAATCAACATCCCCGAGCACCTCCTCGACCAAACACGCGATGCGCCGAGCGAATCTGAATATGAAAAGACAGGGGGTGAAGTCCTAGATTCGTCGGATGGAGACGGAATGTCACTTTTGTTCGGGGATTACGCAAATATGACACCGATATTATCATCAACGCCGTCTGTGTCGAGCGTATCTACAACCATGTCACCATGGCCCCCCGGCGCTGATCATCTGTATCGACCAGCCTCTGTGGTGTCTTCTCTATCGTCTTTGCGCGGAACGCCTGAGTTCCCCAACTCGGAGACCACATTGGGGGATCGATCTACTTCGGCAAGGTCTTTGGAAGATAGAGCCCATGAGCATCAATCGGAGGAGCTCCATCGTCGGAATATGGATAGCCCGTCTGTTCCAGGCATGGTTAGCCACGCGATATCATCACGAAGCATTTCAACTACATCCTCAAATCCCACACCTGCGCCGTCTTTGGTGCGTCAATTCCGCGCGTGGTCATCGCCGTCGTTTTCGCTGTTAGGCCAACACAGGCGCAAGGCTTCTTACCAGTCCAGCACTCCAAATACATCACCATCAGATACAACGGAGGACTCAAAGGTTACATCTCCTAGCTTCATTCCTCCAGATGCTCAATTCGGTCAACACGTCGTCTCAAATGGCCGTTTCCGCGCATATAGTCGCGGGATTCGCAACGACGCTGCCACTAGGCGTCCCACCTCTCCGTCTCGACTCCGTCGGCTAGATGAGCAGGCAGTCATTACGGACTTCGCGTACGAAGAGCGGTCATTGCGATCACAGGCCCATAAGCCTTGTGACAACCGGGAAAGACCTCCTCACCCGCTTTCGCAAGCTATATCTGAATATTCTCTCCGGGGAGGCCAGATACCACAAACCAGAGATGATATAGTACCTCAGCAAGAGCCTGGGCAAGCCCGAGTTTTTGAGATGATGGGCTCGATTCCAGACTTACATCAACTCGCCAACTATCAACGTCCAATCAACCAGAGGCAGTTCGTTGAGGACACGTCGCCAATGGCCAGTAAGGAGAAGCAGGGATCAACGTCCTTCCCTTCTGACCCGGGGGTGTTTGAGCTGCCGTAGGGCCCTGGGTACGAATACCAATGCCCTACATAGTCAAAGGAGATTCCGTTTTTTTTTTTCAATTTAGTCATTATATTCCACAGCGAATGCTTTTCTGACGCGAATGATTGACAAAACAGGACCTAATGTCAGTCTTCATACCTTCAATACCCAGACACGTCCGTGGTGCTTGAGCCCCACTTGAATAATTAGCGGGATACCCACTGCAGATATTGCCGTCGGCTAGATTGTGGGCAAGGCAGTCTGAGGCTATAAAAGACACAAGATTATGGTGACGACAGAGCCAGCATGTGATTGCGTACATCATGAGTCTCGAGCGCACTTGAGTCTACTTGGCTTCAGGAAGAGGCAAGGTAAATCAATTCACGTGTCATGATTCGTATCTAGTTCGTGGGGGATTAGTTTATTAAGTACAACTTCATGGCACTCTTGTTTGGTATCTCGGTTTGGTGTATGTCCTTCCCCTGGTCGACTTCGCCCTTCACCTTTGTACACAGAACTTCCCAGTCATCATCGAACTCCAGTCACACTTATGCAGCAACAGCCTCCTCCTTGGGCTTCGCCTCCTCCACTGCAGGCTCAGCGGCAGGCTTGTCGCCGTTGACGCTGGCAGCCTTTGTGAGCTCCTCGCGCAGCTTCTGCAGCTCGGCGGCGTGCTTCGCCTCCGCGGCAGCCAGATCCTTCTTGGAGGCCTCGAGGTCCTTGGTCAAAGTGTCGACAGCAGAGGTCGACTTCTCGGCCTTCTCCTGCCAGCCGGCAGCGTCCTTCTTGGCGCTCTCGAGCTCGGTAGATGCGTCCTTCTTGACGCTCTCGCTAGACTTCTCGAGGTCGGCATACTTGGTCTGCAAGTCTGCCAGCTCCTTGCTCAGGCGCGAGGCCTCCTCGGCTGAGTCGGTCTTTGTCTTGTCGTGAGTTTGCTGCAGGGAGGTGTGCTTCTCTTCGAGATCGGAGAGAGTCTTCTTGGTGGTAGTGTGCTCCGCCTCGAAGTCGGCCTTGGCCTTCTCGTGGGACTCTTGCTGCGACTTGTGCTTGGTCTCGGCATCAGCCAAGCTCTGCTTGACTGAAGCGAGCTCAACTCCGGCATCGGACTGTGCCTTGTCATGAGTCTCCTGGAGGACCTTGTACTTCTCCTCCCACTCCACACCACTCTTCTTCGCGGCCTCAACTTCAGCGCTGGACTCGGCTTGGGCCTTCTCCTGTGTCTGCTTGAGGGCGTTGAACTTCTCCTCCCACTCCGCGACGCTCTTCTTTGCGGCATCAACCTCAGCACGGGAGTCAGAGGCAGCCTTCTCTTGGGCCTGCTGCAAGGCGGTGTACTTCTCCTCCCACTCGGCAGCCGTCTTCTTGGCGGCGTCAACTTCAGCGCTGCTCTCAGACTGGGACTTCTCCTGTGTCTGCTTAAGGGTGTTGAACTTCTCCTCCCACTCTGCGACACTCTTCTTGGCCGCCTCCAACTCTGCACTAGATTCCGACTGGGTCTGTGCTTGTGCCTCCTGCAATGTCTTGTACTTTTCCTCGGACTCCGCCAAGCTCTTCTTTACGGATTCCAGCTGAGCGCTGGCAGCCGACTGCGATTCCGTCTGAGCCTTTTCCAACGTGGTGTACTTCTCCTCCCAGTCGGAAACGCTCTTCTTGGCAACCGCAAGCTCGGCATCGTGAGCCTCCTGCAACTTGGTGTACTTCTCTTCGGACTCAGCCAGGGTCTTCTTTGCAGACTCAAGCTCAGTACTAGAGGCGGACTGGGCTTCCTTGTGCGACTGCTCCAGCTTGTTGTATTTGTCCTCCCACTCGGCAACGGTCTTCTTGGCAGACTCAAGCTCTGCCTTGCTAGACTCCTGCAACTTGGCGTACTTGTCTTCGGTCTCGACGAGGGAGCTCTTGGCAGCCGCCAGCTCTGCGTCCGCCTCGGCCTTGATCTTGTCGTTGGTCTGCTGGAGGGCAGTGAGCTTCTCCTGAGCGTCGGCGAGCTCCTTCTGGGTGGACGACAAGACAGATGCGGAATCGGACTTGAGGCCATCGAGGGTCTGTTGAAGGCCGGCAACCTTCTCCTGCGCTTCGGCAAGCTCCTTCTTGGTGGCGGCGACCTGCTCCTCGGAACCAACCTTGAGCTTGTTGTGATTATCCTCGAGCTCGGTGAACTTGGTCTGGGCTTCGAGCAGCTCCTTCTTGGCGGCCTCGAGGTCCGCATCAGCCTCGGTTTTGCGCTGGTCAAGGGTCTGCTGAAGGGCGGCTAGCTTGTCTTGGGCATCGGTGAGATCCTTCTGGGCGGCAGATACGTTGGCGCTGGAGCCGCTCTGGAGATCGTCGTGGGATTGCTGGAGGGCAGTGAACTTTTCTTGGGCATCACTCAACTCCTTCTTAGCAGCGGCAAGGTCGGAATCGGTGTCGGCTTTCAGCTTGTCGAGAGCCTGCTGAAGGGCGGTGTATTTGCTACCGGCAGCGGCGAGCTCGGCTTCGGTATCGGACTTGAGTTTGGAGTGCTGGCCTTCGAGGTCGGAAAGTTTGCCCTCGAGGGTGGTGACGGCGGCCGCCTTCTCGCCAAGAGACTTGGTCGCGGACTCGGCCTCGGCCTTGATCTTGTCGAGGGTCTCCTGCAGGGTGAATCGGGCCTGGTCGGCATCGGTCAGGCGCTCTTGGAGGGCCTTGAGCTCGTCGCGGAGGGAGACCTCGAGGGTCTCGCGCTCCTTCTTGGCCTCGGCCAGTTGCTCCTTCACGGCGGCGAGATCATCCTCGAGAGCCTTCTTTTCCTGCTGGACCTTGTCAAGCTGCTCCTGGAGAGCAGCAAGCTTCTTGTTTGCGGTATCAAGCTCCTGGGCGCGCTGGGTGTTGGCGTCGCCGTTGGCCTGGAGGTGGTGGTTGATCTTGTCGTTGCTGGTGGCGAGCTCGGACTCGAGAGTGGCGATGCGAGACTTGTTCTCTTGCTTGGACGAGGTCAATTGGGAGTCGAGGTCCTGAATCTTTTTGCGCAGGTCTTCGGCCTCCTCGGAAAGGGAGTTGTACTGCTTCTCCTTCTTTGAGAGATCCTCCTCGAGGACAGTGATGGTCTCCTCGCGGTCGGCAAGCTTCTGCTCGAGTTCTGCAGCGGACCCCTCAAGCTGGTGACCGTTGCCGGGTGAAAAGACTGAGACAACGTTGCCCATGATGGAGAATTCTCGTCAGACTGAACTAAAGGGAAGGGGGGGGCCTGTTGTCGGTTCAGTCGAGGGAAGGTAGAATGACGGGCAGGTAGGTAGGTGGTGGTGGGATAAGATTGGTTAATGGTTGAAGATTTGGGGGAAAGGCGCAATGCAGGCAAGACCCATGAACGTCGGTGAGTCGACTTTCCTTCAGGTTCTTTGGGGATTGAGGCAACGGTGAGGAGGAGGAGCAGCAGCAGCAGCAAAGACCGGGAGGGAATTGTCGGTAAAAGGTGAGGCAAGGTAAACAAAGAAAGGCGGTCAAGGGGATTTTCTGCACAGCACAGCACCTGCCTGGTCAGGGTAATCTTTTTTTTTTTTTTTTTTTTTTTTTACCGTATGTTACCTTAATCCCGTTCTCTTCTCTTTTTTTTTTTTTTGGGGCCGTTATCGTGGGTCACTGGCTTGCACCTGCTGCTTCACTCGTTCATGTAGTGATGGAAATGAGCGACCTGCCTTCTAAGTGGCTGGACCCCTGCTTTGGACCCTCCAAATTATTGGCAGCCCGGCCGTTGGGCCCACTTGAGCTATTCCAATTGGGTGTAGTGGCGGCATGCTCAAGAAAGTACCTCCTGGCAGGCCACAACCCACAGAGATACTTGGGCCTAGCCTGAGGTCACACCGTCACAGCTTGGGCGCTCAGGGACCTGTCATTGTGTGACCAACGGGCCTGTCAAGGATTTTCCTGTCAAAGACGTGGGGGCTTCTCAATGGCTGCTTCTGCTGTCTCTTTACCGTTGGGCGCAAAAAAGTTGTTGTTGTTTTTTGTTTTTTTTTGGGTTTTTTTTGGGTATGGTACATACTGGCACCTGGCGGCAAGCAGTCAAAACATTGCTTGTATGGATACCTCACCTTGAATGTAAACAAACGCACTCTGTCTGTATTCCTCCGTACCTTACTCTGTATCCGTATAGCTTGGGAAGGTGCTTGGCTGCCTGCCATCCCTCTTCGCTCCATTGCCTTGAAGCGGAGAGAAGACGGCAGAATCCAATGGAGAAGAGGGGAAATCTCTGCTGCCTCAGGTACGAAATCATGATACCTTGATGCATGGGGGGTCCGTTGTTCGTACAAGGCATGGCGGAAAGAAGGGAAGCACATGCAAAGTAATTGAATCCCTCTCATCACCATCGCATGCAATCTCCCATCGTCAACACCTCAGCGGAGGCTGCGGCTTCTCCTGCGGAACATCTCACTGGATCCACATGTTCAGATCTTACTTGAGTCATTGACACCCAAGCAACCGATGGGTTGGACGTCACGATCCATCTTTCAGCAATGCGTCGATGCCCATACGAAGTACGTATCCGTACACAGTTACGGAGTACACACCCCTGAGATGCCAACTCATTGAAGATAAGCACGTCAACCCGTAATAGCATCGCTTTACCTGAGTTTCGTCTCGTTATTCGCTTCCTTCACTTTTGAGGCAAAGCCAATTGGACATGACGCCCGAGGGTGCGTGCCATCGACTACTGTCTGTCACTGTGTCCCATCACGCAACCCTGGTCTCAATCTCCGTCTACTCTTCTTACCCACTGTCTGTGTGCGATTCACCGGACACTCATTAGAAACGTCACCACACACGAAATTTCGGGTGAGTAATCAATGGCATTCATCCACACTGCGCTTTTCTGCCACTTCAGATACGAGCAATTCAAACATGTCCTTCCACCGCGTCTATCCGTACCGGTTCCTAACTTACTCCCACACTGTATCACCGCCTATTCACTCCTTACAACCGAGCGCAACCACGCTTCCCCTCATTGGCGCAGAACGCATCCCTGGACGTCCGATCGACACACACCGACGACGGCGGTACCCAAAGTCCTGGATTCTTCTCAAAAAAGTTGGAGGCTCGCAGCATCACGCTCACCGGCTCCGCGGGCATGATCGGAAAGTCCTCCGTCCGAGGAAAGTGCGTGAGACCAAACTGAATGTAGCACACGATATCTGTGTTCTCGATTGACTCGTTTCGTGCCACCCAATCCACAACTGTCTGGTTATGCAGGTGCTCCTCTCCCGTAGACTGGCAAACGTAGTCCCCGGCTGGGAAAAGCTCATAGTCCTTGTACGGGACTACCCAGAGACTTTTGCGAGCAAACGCCGCCCGTTTGCACACCATGCTCCCCGGTTTGGCCAAAAGAGGCGGCCAATTGGGGTTGATGATCTTGTACCCAACCGGCTTTTTCGCTGAAGGGTTGATGCTACTCGGATTGATGATATCCCACGCCCGACTCGTCTCGTGGCAATACACTGAAGCGCCCTCCTCCGAAGTGCGTAATGGCGTCTTTCTGCAGTAGAACCCGTTGCCAAACGGATTTTCCTGTGATCCCACGGGCGCGTCTGAGGGTACCACGTCGCTTTGCAACACAGAGTTGTTCCGCCCATCAATCTCGGGATCAATTCTCAATGAAAAGATATGCTGGTGATTATGCGCATTCAGCCGAGGCGCAACCTCGGTGCCGTACGGAGCTGCCGACTCTGATGAGTGCATGCAATACGTGTTCAACATTCCTGTGAGCTTGATCTCGAGTTTGTATGTGCCGTCGAGAGTAAAGGTATGATAGAACGCATAGTTACTCGTAGTTGGCCGCAGTAATGATCTGGGAAATGATGAGCTTCCGATCACGGGCCGAAATAACACTGCCATCACGAAAGTCCGTATGCTTGTAGAGAGGCCCGTTATCCTCCTCGTGGATGCAAATTGCGTTTTTGATCATCGCAGGTTCGCCTTTGGACGTCGTCATCACTGCGTCGAGATAATGGATTTCGCCCTTGCAATCACGGCCAAGTTTAGCGAGTTCGTCATCAGCCCGCTGCCGTATTCGCCAACGTCAAAAGCGTGCTTCCGCTGGTGAGGGGGGTCCGGGTTGCCGTACGGGACGACCATTTCGACAACGCTAATGCGGTTAAACAGTGTACGATCTCGTTGTTGTTGTTGGTCGTGGATTCGCACGTCTGAGATGACGATGCCTTCGCGGTAGTTGAAACCAACATGCATCTTGTAGCCTGCCCAGAAGAGCTCGTTGCCCTGCATGCGAAATGAAACGCCCTGCGGCTGAGTAGTGTCGATAGGCCTGAGCCTGGTGCCATCGTACGACTCTTTGATAAACTCTGGTAGATAGTTGTGTTCTTCCAGCAGGACCTGGGTACGCTCTCCGTTGACATGCCGGACGTCAATAGCGAGAACCTCTTCCGTCTCGGTGTCCACGACCACTGAAAAGTCTAGGGGATGCGCGTATTGGTTGTCCATCGGCGAGTTACGGTAGTAGGGCAGTCCCTGTTGGAGACGACGTTCAAACCCCCAGCAGTGGTCGAACCCAATAGCCCAGGCATCGAAAAACACCTTGGACATATCAGTAATGCCAATCTCACGGCAAACCTCAATGATTTTCGGGTTCGTTCGGGCAATCCGTTCCGTGACATCGAGGTCTTCGAGAGTCAAGGTAGGTGCAACCTGGGACACAGCCTTCCACGTCTCAACCTTTTCCTTTGGCCAGGTTGACAATGACCTCAGCAACCTTGCTGGACCCACGCTCTGCCAGTTTGATGGCAAAGGCACGACGATCGGGTCGCGGGCCTTGTCAGGCGCGAAAATATGCATACTCTCTCTTGGTGGGTTCGCGCAGATTCAGGCAGTTGAATTTGATCGGGCCACCGGTTTCGTGCTCCCGAATGAGCTTGGCAGCAACTCGTAGTTCGTCTATTGACAGCGGGTCTGAAACCTTGTATTAGCGTTGCCGCGCTGACGCCTTGCTGCGATAGTCTAGGAATGCAGGCATTGCTTTGCGTCAAGATTCAGACTGGACCTTGACATACCGAGGGGTACATCACAGCTTGCCTAGACAAGTCAGGAGCTTGGTCGCTCTCTTCATGGCGGAAAATTGAATAACCGGGAAGAGAAGCCGTGTCTTCGATCATGTTGACAGAAATTCCGTTAGGTCTGGAGACAGGTTGGTCATGTGAACATAGGGGAGGAAATTCTGGCTTCGGATGCTGTCTAGAAATCAGAAGACAACGGCTGTACTTATACTCACAGTCGCTCGATACACAAATCGCATTTACGAAAAATGTCGTGCCATCTAAGGTACGAACTACACCGGACCGTATTCTCGCCGGTCTATTCAACTTTTAGTCAAGACGTATCAAATTTACGACCAAGATCTCTCATCCACGCGGGGACGACCGGGATAAGGGGACGTTGTTAGACTCGTTAGGTTGTCGTTGATGACTAGTGGGACCGGCCCGGCTGGTGGGGGCAGGGGAACACCGAGTTACCGGCATAACGGGTCGACTACTCCCCAGTAGATGAATCTATCCGTATGGTGCGTATCTCTGGCCTCAAAACGATTGTCATTATACGCCGGCACTAGTCACACACTCCAAGTCTTATCGACTCCAAAAAGGGGGAAGATCCGACTTGAGGATGAGGGGAAACGTTTATAAGAAGTCGTGCTCTGCCGCGAGGCTAAGTGGTGGTCGAGACACGTCAACCATCACAAGAGAATGTCACAATCTCGACTTTTCAACCAAGCTTTTCCCCTGCTTCTACCTTTATTGCCAACAGCCTCACGAAAACCCAAGTCTATAGGGTCAATATGGATGCTGAGCAGGGTCCTACGTTGAAGCCCTCAATCATGTCGGATCAGGCAGCCTAGGATGCAGGCGATCTCGCTGAACTTGGTCATTCGCAAGCACTCAGCCGCAAGTTCGATACAGGGAGCTTGCTGTCCCTCGCCTTTGTCGTTCTGGGCACTTGGTCGGTCTTTGCGCAAAGTCTGGCCAGCGGCCTTACCAACGGTGGTCCCATCACTATTCTCTGGGGCCTATGTTTGGTCACGTTCTGCAACACTTGCATCGGCGTTTCCCTAGGAGAGATGTGCAGCAGTATGCCAACCGCTATGGGCCAGACCTACTGGGTCTCACGGCTCTGGCCGACTCCAGCTGGTCGCTTTACATCGTACCTCTGCGCCTGGATCAACACCTTTGGATGGTGGCATTGTCAGCTTCCACCGTAGCCTTCATGACCGAGTTCATCTTGGGAATGAACTTGCTTTTTGACGAAACCGCGACGGCACCCCAAACCGGCTGGGTCCAGTTTCTGGTCTACCTCGGCACGACAGTACTTCTAACCCTCTTAAACGTTATTTCTTGTCGACGGGACAAAATCCTTCCAGTTTTCAACAACTTTGTCGGCATCACATTTGCCGGGTTATTTTTTGTTTTCGGCCTTGCTCTACTCATATCTGTGGGGACCAAAGATGAACTCCGATTCCAACCCCCATCGTTTGTCTTCGGGGCCTGGATCAATCGCACGGGTTGGAGTGATGGGATAGTATGGTTCATGGGCCTCGTCCAAAGCGCCTATGGACTCACTGCTTTCGACGCTGCCATCCATCTTGTGGAGGAGATACCTGCACCTCGAAAGAACATCCCTCGGGTAATCTGGTTGTCCATCATTTGTGGTGCTGCTACTGGATTCCTATTCATGGTTGTCTGTCTCTTCTGCATTCAAGACCTCGAACAGGTTCTCGACCCGACAACTGGCCTCCCATTCATGGATCTCGTCAGAAGTACAGTCGGGCTGCAAGGAGCAGCAGTCCTAATTGCTCTCTTCATCATCACTGGCTTGGGCCAGGGGGTCACTGTGGTGACGACAGCGTCTAGACTCACATGGGGCTTTGCGCGCGACGGAGGCATCCCGTGGAGTTCCTACTTCTCCCATGTTGACGAAACGTGGAAGGCACCCGTCCGTGCCCTTTGATTACAAGGGTTCATTATTGGCCTCGTGGGTCTCCTTTACACTTTCTCTAATACAGTTCTGGAGGCCATCGTCGGCGTCAGTACTATTGCTCTCACGATATCCTACGCCATACCCATTCTTACGCTTCTGTTGGTTGGGAGAAGTAAACTACCACCCGCGGAATTCCGCCTTGTTCGGTGCGGAGCCGCCGTTAACTGGGTATCGATTGTTTACTGTCTGATAACGACTGTTTTCTTCTTTTTCCCAGCCGAGCCCAACCCAGCTGTTCCTGACATGAACTATGCTATCGCTGTTTTCGGCATTATTCTCCTGTTCAGCATCGGCTTCTGGTTCATTAAAGGGAGGCAAACGTACTTGCAAGTCGAAGACATTGCTGGACGGGTCATTTATGGCACAGCTGAGAACCACCCCCAAGGCATGGCCGAGTCTGATTCGAAGAGAGACTGAATTTCTGTTCACTCCTTCAATGTTGCTTGAAATAAATTCGAATAGTTGCAAATCAAGCGAGGCAAACCAATGGTCAATAAACACACTCCAAGCTACCTCTCAACCTGTGTGCTAGTACTTCGATACTTTCTGTCCTAGGATGTATTCCGCAAAAGGAGCATAGAATCGTCAACTCGGATATTGCTAGACGAGGTTCTCTTGTGCATATATCGGGGTGATAAGCAGAAGCGCATTTCGATCTTGAGAACGGACATGAATGGGCGAAGATATGCCCCGGAAAGTGGATAAAATTCGCAGTTCCCGAGATGCCAAGTGCTAGCGTGCTCGTCTAAAGTCTTGGCCATAAAACTAGCCATCTTGGGACTAATGCAGACCCGCTCCGAAAGCTTGGCCAAAAATCTAGCTTCTTTAAGACTAGCAGACTGCTATGTGGGCCGTGGAGCCTTTCCAGTCTGTTACTCAGTGAATGCCGCCCTTATCTCGAACTTCGAAGTCTCTATCCGTACACGAATTCACATCTATATCAGGAAGGGATGATGTTCAACAATCTCGTTATCGCAGGAGACCATGGTAGTGGTTGTCAATATGGTTCCATCACGGTATCCCTTGAGTCAACTTGAGACTGCAAAACCTTGCACATGAGTTCTCCTGTTCCCAACATCACGGTCATGCATGATGTCGCCGCCACAACGCCAACGTTCTTTTTCACACTTGGAGCTGACCAGGATCTCATGAGTGGATTAATACCCCTGGTAACCCCAGAATCGGAGGCTGCAGGTTGGTATACATAGCAAATCCAATATCCAACCGCCTCAAGGCATGATAGTCGCTCTGCTTGCTGACTGAGCCCCTCGTAATGTACCTTAGTGGTAATACGGTTCGCTCTCCAGAATCCCCTCGGATGCTATGAATAAGAGTTTTTCAACGATATGTCTTCTGAATCTGCACCTCGGCTTTAACATCTGCAGTAAAGGCAGAGTAACACGGACAGATTATGAAGAGTTTCGCGGCCACACCTTCTCTCAACTGGGTTCTCCAAATGGCTCTATGCCATTTTCACCTTAATAGACACATGTCTGACAAATAGTTATTCGACTTCAACGATGATCGAACTCGCTGTTATCTTCATAGCCGGCAGATGATCCGGACAGAGATGATTATGAGACTGTTTGCTAATCTACCCCGGCTTCGGAGCCGGCTCTTGACCCGGTGTGTGTCGCGAAGATATTACTACTGAAGGCAAGACTAGATCTCGAGACCAGGCCGCGTCCCTCCACGTCGCGAGCAAGAGAGGATCGTCGTGACCAAGACAGCCCGGTCTTTCATGCCCATATCCCGTATGTACGACCTGGGTCACCCTGCTTAAAGCCGAGTCTGCTCTAGTGGGGCTCTCGGGAAGGATGGCCCCCTGAACCAAGTACCACGGTACCACCCCAAGGGCGGGCACACTGCGTGTCGTGGGGTTGCCGGCAATCCTAATCGGGATTAGCAAGCACACAGCTGAACCTCGCGAACTTCCGGGCAAGACATAGATCTACCGGATGAAAGAGTACTTGATAAAAGAAATCAACATAGTTTTTGGGCATCTTGAATGGTCGTCGAGGATTTCCTGTGGCTGGGACATTGTACTCAACAACGCTGAACAAGCCCGTTGCCACGATGTTGTTCGTTCACGACGAATCCCTCCCTCAGCTGCCAAGCATTCCGGACACAGTGCCCCTCTGCGACTTCATGTTCGATGAGCAATATGGACGGCACCCAGTTGCGAAGTCACTTGACTCCTACACTTGCGGGTTGAGTGGTTACAGTATCTCGGCCAGAGAACAGAAAGCCCGCGTTGAAGCCTTTGCGAGATCATTAGCCCAGGAATTAGGATGGAGTGTCAACCAGGGGAGTGAGTTTGACAAGGTGATTGGCATTTTTGCCCTTAACACTGTATGTTTTGCAGGTCTTGAAATCATCAGACTTCTAAAAGTTTCCGCTAACCTCGTTCACAATAGGTGGACGTCATGGGGTTGTCTTGGGCCGTCCATCGTGTGAACGGCGTCTCTTCTCCTGCAAACGCAATGTATAACGCAGAGGAGCTCACACACCAGCTCGTGACCTCGAAATGCAAAGCGCTTTTCACCGTCCAGTCTCTTCTCCCCATTGCATTGAAAGCTGCAAAAGCTGCCGAAATTCCAGAACACTGCGTATATCTCTGCGATATGCCTGGCCAACAGGAAGCGAAGCGCTCAAAATATAAAACAGTTGCAGAGCTTACTCTTCACGGCCAAAGCTTGCCAGAACTTGAGCCAATCAAATGGAAGCCCGGTCAAGGACAAAGACAGACTGCGTTTCTTTGCTACTCCAGTGGCACCTCTGGCCTACCGGTGAGTACTCAAAGTACCTGCATCCCAGTGACGTAGGACTCGCTTATTGACAACACATTGAAGAAAGCGGTCATGATCTCACACAAGAATGTCATCGCAAACATAATCCAGCTGTCACTCTTTGATCAAGCAGACCGAGACGCTATTTCTCCGGGGCATCGCGACATCGGACTTGGCCTCCTACCTCAGTCCCACATCTACATCCTCAACATACCGGGGCGACTCGGTGATCGTGCTCCCAAGGTTTGACTTGCACACATATCTCCGCACAATCGATAAATTCAAGATCAACACCCTCTATTTGGTTCCGCCGCTGATTATCGCAATGATCAACAGTTTCGAAACACTACGGAAATACGACCTATCATCTGTCAAGCGGGTGTGGGTTGGAGCGGCACCGTTAGGGCTGGAGGCAACCAATGCGCTGCTCTCCGCATATCCCTCATGGAAGATAACTCTTGGGTACGGCATGACAGAAACCTGCGTTGTCGTCACTTCCGGCACGCCAAGAGACATCGTCGTCGGCAGTTCTGGCTTAGTATTGCCGGGTTTCGAGATTATGCTCGTGGGTGCTGACGACAAGCCTGTCAACAATTACAATGAGCCGGGCGAGGTGTGGGTGAAGTCGCCAAGTGTTGTGCTCGGTTACCTCAACAACGAGTCTGCAAACCGCGACACTTTCGTCGATACCGAGAACGGCCGTTTCATCAAGACAGGAGATGTTGGGGAGATGCGGAAGGCTCCTAGCGGGAAGGAGCATCTCTGGATCGTGGACCGAATCAAGGAACTCATCAAAGTCAAGGTACGAGCTTCCAATACTGATTATGTGCAACTGTTTTCGCAAAGACTGACTGGGGTCACTTAGGGTCATCAAGTTGCTCCGGCTGAGTTGGAAGCGTGCCTATTGGGCCATGCAAGCGTCGCAGATTGTGCCGTCATTTCTGTGCCAGACGATCGTGCCGGTGAAGTCCCGAAGGCTTACATCGTCAAATCAGAGCCATGTTCCGCCAAGGAAGTTCAGGAGTACGTGCAGGCCAGGAAAGCACCCTAACCCTAACCCTAACCGCCTACCACGCTGTTCATCGACGAGGCGAAGTCAAACCAGAAGAGACCGTGTTTCTCTTCGGCCTAGGAGGACTGGGATTCAATGCTCTTCAAATTGTCCTCGACATTGGGGCAAGAGTCATTGTCTCTGATATCAGGGAAAGTTTGCTCGAGGAAGCAGCCGCGATCGGGGTATCTCGGGCAGACTTAGTTCCACCGGGGAAGAAAGTTCAGGACTTTGTTGTTGAACAAGGGCTTGGCCGGGAAAATAGACACTGTCCTTGATTTTGTTGGAACTCATCAGACTTTCGAGGATGCTCAGCAAATAGGTAAGACTTCTCAAATCCCAAAACTTCATCTGACACGGAAGACCTATCAAATCTCACACGAAGCTTTAGTTCGTCGAGGCGGAAAGCTGTTGTGCATCGGTAGTTTGGACACCGAGAACACCATACACATGAAGATTGGAACTAGAAAGCGACTCGGCTACATCTTCTCTTACGGAGGTCAGGTGAAGGACCTGAGGGAAGTTCTGCAACTCATCGCAACAGGGAAAATCAGGCCTAGAGTTGAGACAGCAAGACTGCGCGACTTTCCCGATGTCTTGGAACGTTTAGAAAGAGGGGAGATCAAAGCCAGAGTCGCTCTGATGCACGAATGACCTGATAATTTGGTCTTTCCAAGAGCTTGGGCATTGGGTCATATGTCATTATGTACTTTCATACATATAGGCTCTAGTAATATCACCCGACTCAAGAAATGCATTGAAGATATCTAAAAGTACATACATACTAGCCATTGACACTGGCAGCCTTGGCCATTCCTATTCCGACAGCTGCGGTGGTGCCAGCGTCGACTGGCAGAATCACACCAGTCATCCATCTGGCATGATTACTGGCTAGGAATACAACAGCACAAGCAGCATCCCAGCCGTTCCCTTCCGTTCCGAGGAGACTTCTTCCCTTCCTTGCAGCTCTCGTTTCCTCACTCATTCCACCAGCGTACATCATGGGTGTATACAACATCTGTACGCGCAATAGAACACGCCATTTGATTAGCTTGTCAATCCTTGGTGAGAGTGCAAGATAGGGAGACGAAGGCTTACCCCTGGGCAGACGCAGTTTACCCGAATTCCGTCTTTTGCGTGATGTGCAGCCATCGCTCGTGTCATGTTGACAATTGCGCCTTTGCTTGTCGGATATAACAGGTGCGGAGTGCCTCCTTTAAGACCAGCGACGCTGCCCATGTTGACGATTGCACCTTTGCTTTCTCCCTCATTTTTGAGCATGGCAGGAATGGCATATTTAGCCATAAGAACCATGCTAGAAACGTTGACATCGAGGCCCTTTGCCCATTGCTCCATGTCCACGTCAACTGCAGTGCCTGCAGCTCCCGCAATTCCCACGTTATTGATTAGAATATCAACCCGACCGAATGTTTTCAATGCCATTTGAACGATTTTTTCGCAATCCGTGGAAGATGTCACATCCCCTTCGACAGCAAGAGTTTCGCCCCTCCCAGGTTTCGTGGCCACCATATCGCAGGTTTTGCTCGCCCAGGACAAGTCTCTGTCGACGCAAACGACGTTGCAGCCGTCGTCGGCTAAAAGAATAGAAATGGCACGCCCGTTCCCAATGCCATTGCCTGCACATCCAGCTCCGGTGACAATGGCCACTTTGCCCTTGAACGATCGAGACGGTGGTTCGCTTGGAATTTCTGACATGGCTGTGGTTGGTAATGTGGTGCGTGGGTGCGTGGTGCGGCACAAAATTGATTGACTGCTGAGTTTGGCAAGCAAACCGATCTCGTGACTTACGATTCTATTACATCTTTCGCATCATATGGAATAGCTCGACCTAACTTCTACTTGAAGCTTGCCATGTAGTACATTGGAGTAGCTGCACCGGCAACACGGATAACTCGTTTGGGGAAACCCGGACAGCGCCATTTGAGCGGGGTCTGACTAGAATGAGTGCTTGTGAAATAACTGCATAAGAAAGTGGGCTTCTTGCCGAAGGTTTCTCAGCCGCAGGAATGCCCAGTGGTATCAAGCAAGTCGCACGATCCAAGCCGGCATGCTCTGCCCGGTTATGGTTGCTGAACCGCTGGCAGTCAAGTTGGTACATTGCCGGAGTCACCAGAGCCGAATCTCAGCATAACCGTTAACGGGATCATGACCAGCGAATGTGAGGCGCGGTTGGTCTATCTGTTTCCCCGCAGAACCTCGGCACGCTGTGAAGCTTATTACCCCTCCTCACTATGACTAATTGCGTTGGCTTGGCCGAACCTCGGCCTGTGCTGTGTATAACCTGTCATGGAACGAACAAACAATTGTACACAACTTGGAGTGAAAAAACTCATTTCGCCTTTCTCGATTCCAAATTCTTTGAAACCCTCTCAAGAAACATTTTGTAAGCAAGAATGTGTGACTTCTCGAAATACGGTGGCCCCAGCGAAGAGTGGCTGGCGGTGGAAGCTGGTCTTCCTCCTCCCCAACCCGACCTCTCTCCATCGGAACGCAAGAATGTCATGAACAAAGTTCACGATGAATTGGCCGTGGAAGCAATGAAGCCTATGGCAGACAAAGTCCAAGTACGCGACTGGACAATCCCTACACGTGATGGAGCGACACTCGAAGCCCGAACCTATCGACCCAAGGCAGCGGGCGATGGACCCTTGCCAGTCTACCTCTACTTCCACGGAGGTGGATTTCTCTTCGGTACCTTGACCTCCGAAGATGCAACGTGTTCTCGCATTGCCATCAGCACAAATGTGCTCGTTGTCAATGTGAACTATCGTCATACACCCGAACACGTCTACCCGACAGCATGGAATGATGCTGAGGACGCTTTCATTTGGTTGCATGCCAACATCAAGGAGGTCGGCGGTGACGCCACTAAAGTTGTCGTTGGAGGCATATCAGCGGGTGGGCAATTGACAGCCTCTCTGACACTCGCTCAGCACCTGGGAAAGCTTCCCTCGGGGTTACCCTCTATTGCTGGGCAGGTTCTGATGATCCCCTGCCTGGCGCATGTTGATTGTTACGATGGCTTGTTGAAGAAGATGAAAAGCACATCGGTCTCATCGTACCCCGAAAACGAAAACACTCCAATCTTGCCGCGATCCATGATCGACCTTTTCGTCGGCCTTCTCAAGGTTGAGAACCCAGATCCCAATGACCTAAGACTTAATCCCGGCAATGCAACCCCGGATCAGGTGAAAGGGCTACCTCCGACGACCTTTGGAATTTGCGGCTTGGATGCATTGAGAGATGAGGGTTTGCTATACGCCAAGATGCTCACAGAGGCTGGGTGAGTGACTCTTACGCTTTGGAACGCAGGAAAGTGATTGCTAATCTATCGCACAGTGTTCCCACTGATGTTCATGTCTACAAGGGCGTTCCACACGGGTTTCGACGGTTCGGAGACAAGTTGTCAGCGTCGAAAGACTGGGACGAAACTACGGACAGCGGTATTACTTGGGCACTGACTAACCCGACTGCCACAGGAGAGTTCAAGATCCACGAGCATTAGATGGGCACAGTTAGGCAAAGATAACTTGAAGTAATTCTAGAAATGTCTGTGGCGCGGTGAACTTCAATCCTTCTAGGCGTGAGACCCGTAGCTTGGAGGGAAACATACATGCCAACTCACAAAGACGGATAATGATATCAAGAGGGAATGCACCATCTAAACCATACCATCGAGAGGACTTTAGACGAGCAAGGGAAACGTTATGCAGATGGGCAAAGCTTAATTACACTGTTACTTGGGTAGGTAAAGTAGCTTGATAGCTGTCTGATGTTCTTGATAAAGACTCCAGTCAATATTACTACAGCGAATTCCATCTAAAGACCTGACCAAATTATCCAAGCACAAAGTCGGAATAATTCCTGGCCTTCACCTCATCGCACCGCTTTCTATACCCAGGTGCAGGTCCATTGTACCGCGTCATGGATCTTTTCTGCTTGTGAGCCAGGTTTTTGTTTACACCCGTCATCCAAGAGTCCACCTCGTTGGCCAGAAGACCTTCTCCGCATTTCCATACATGATCTGTCCACATGCGCATGCCTTCATCTGTAGCCTCGACAGATGTGATGTTATTGTCTCGAGCATACCGGATGAAGTCTGCCACCCACTCTACAGCGTACTCGATGCTTCGGGGGATGTTTCCAAACATCTGGTGCGGTCCCATGACCATGAACATGTTGGGGAACCCCTTGACAGTCAAGCCAAGGAAGGTCTGAATGCCCTCGCTCCAAACATCTGTAAGCTGTGTGCCCCCGATACCCTGAAAGTCCACCGCTCGGAACGAACCAGTGATGGCGTCGAATCCTGTCGCGTAGATGATGGCATCGAATTCAAAGTCTTCCTCGCTCGTCTTGATACCCTTTTCGGTGATGTGATCAATTGGAGTTTCCGTAATGTCAACCAAGTGGACATTCGATCTGTTGAATGCCTCGTAGTATCCATTTTCAAGCGGGACCCGGCGAGTACCGAAACCGTGATTCTTCGGAATGAGCTTCTCGGCAACTTTGGGGTCGTTGACGCGTTGGCGGATTTTGTATGCGTGGAAATCGCTGTAAAGTTTATTCGCTTCCCGGTTGGTATAAATGTCGCCCGAGATACCGAGCACCTTGGCGAATCCAGGCTGTGCATAAAGTTCCTCCCAATGCTCCAGGCGCTCTTTCTCTTCCATGTCAAAAACACTTCTCGTGTCACCAATATGTATGAAACACGAGTGAGAGTCCAGGCACTGCCGGAAGATCTCAGGATACCGCCTTCGAATATCGGCCATCTCCTCTGGACTGATTTTTGTGTTTCGTAGTGGTGCAGTCCAATTGGGAGTTCGTTGAAACACAGTCAGAGAGCCAACTGTCTTGACAATTCCCTGGATTATCTGGATAGCAGTTGCGCCTGTGCCGATGATTGCCACGCGCTTGCCTTCGAGACTGGCGCCATCTCCAGGCCATCGGGCTGTATGCCATGCCTCTCCCTTGTAGTCGTGAACTCCGGGAATGTTTGGCAGAGTGGGTTCGTTGAGAATACCCATAGCTGTCACCAGGTAACGGCAGGTGTAAGTGGCCCCATTTCCATCGGTCAAAAGCCAAGACCTGGAATCTTCCTGGAAGCGAGCTGACTGGATACGCGTATTGAATTGCATGTCCTTTTTCAGGTCGAACTTTTTGGTGAGAAACTGGATGTAGCGTAAAGTCTCCGCCTGAGGTGAGAAATGCTCAGTCCAGTCCCATTCATCCAGCACTTCTTGAGAGAAGGAGAAGATGTAGGAATAGCTCTCTGAATCAAATCGAGCTCCTGGATATCGGTTCCTACACTCATGTTAGCTTATGCGTCACGTATTGTTCCTGCAGAGTGCTCATACCAAAACCAAGTGCCTCCTTCAGCAGAACCAGCTTCAAGAACTTTGACTCTCAACCCGAGTTCTCGCACACGATACAGTGAGAAAATGCCGCTGAGGCCGCCACCAACTATCAAGACATCGTAGTCAATTTCTTGGTTGGCAGATTGGAAGCTTGACGGCGCTGTGCCGTTGGGCTTTGGTTCGGACCCCTGTGCCATGGTTGCAACAATGTGAAGTCCCGGCTTGAACTGAACTCTGACGTGCAACTGTGTTCACGACAGTTCCGAATCTGGGCTTGAAGTACTATCGATGTAGAAGTATGACTCGATGCTTTGGACAACAGTGGATTAGGGCGTTTGCACAATTATGATGAACACCGAGTAACGTAGTTAGCCTGCAGAGATCTGAGGCTTGGAGTTAGGTGGAGACGGAAGAGGGCATTCGCGGGGATGCCGGCGGTAGAATATCACCCAACCTTACCGCGATAGACAAACAAACTTCGGCTCGGCGCGCTCGGTGGGTTCGGCTATCCCAATCAGGAAAGTGCCGAAATGCCCCAGTCCTACCGCAATGCAGGGCTCAGATGAATTGCAAGCCACGGCAAAGGTAATTACTACCTGAGTAGGCGACTCAGGGCATCCAGACCATGCATTCGTACTGACTCCTCCATTCACCAGTCACTTGGTACGGTAACTAAGGCACAGAGTTGACTTGTTGAAGAGACTTTCCTGCAGAGACTTGTCATCAGATGATACTGAGAACTTCTATGTGTCTTCAGGCGAAAATATTCCAGTTCAGTTATTCGGTGCAACACATAATCTCGGGGCACAGGGTCGCAAATAGATAGAGTAATGGAACCAAGCGAAAGTTTAATAAACGGATACTCTGCAGATGCCTTAGTAAGTTTTCAAGACATTCTGGTTGGCAACTGCAGGAAGATGGGTATTTTATAAATTAGGCCCGATTTCTACAGCAGCCCCTTCGAGTCCCAGTACGACTCCAGGTCGCGAAAGAATGACCATTTAACTTTCTCCCCCCAGCCTTTTGATTTCCAGTCGTTGAGATCGCTGGGAAAATGAGGCACACCGTCTCTGACTGTCGAGTCATGTGCTATAATGACAAAGATGTTCTCGTCACAATCTAATTCTTGGAGACATCCTACTGTCCTTCCCACCATAGGAAGGTCCAGGCCAAAGGTTACATCGAAGAGTGTATCTGTGGATGCTCTACCCCGAGACTTCTGGAGCTCGTCCCAAGCGCTACCAGGACAAAGTGCGGTATCTCCGTGCGGTCGGCAAGGATGTGGTGAGATTGACGCGGGAACAGGCAGATGCTTTGAAGGCCGGAAGATTCCTGCGTAGTGACAGACGTCACCTCCAAAAAGAATAAACGTGTCCGGACTTTGATTTGTCCGGGCTAGTCCGCATAGGTGACCCACGGCATGGCCTGGGCTATCCAGCAAGTAGAAAGAGCCATCTCCGAAGTAGTCGAATGCCGGGAACCGCCCGATGCGAATGGTTTGAGGCCCTTTTTCAAACGAGATTTCTCTCAAGTTCCGATCACTTGGAATTGATACAATTTTGTAAGCTACAAGCGCCAGGCTATCATAGTTGGGGTTGTTGCAATGACTTACGCATAATCCTTCTCAAGTATAGGAGAGTCGGGGTTTGCAGGTGCTCCCGGAAGCATCGCCGCCTTGAATCCTGGCCCAACGATCAAGTCTGTCGTTTTCGGGAATGTGGATGGATCACCAATATGATCCCAATGCCAGTGGCTGGGTAGCCACATCAGGTTAAGGGATCGCTCTGTACGCAAGAGAAAAGAAGATTTGGAAAAGAGAATATGGCTTATGCTCTACGTACCTCCAGATCACTGCTTCGACATCCTCCGGAGCAACACCACTTTCTTCCAAAATATCCTTCACATTTTTTTTCACCTGAATATCGTAATTCGTGGTTGGCAAGTAATTAGTTATCGAAGGCGCATAGTTGTTGTAGTCTTTTCTGATCCCTAGATCCCATACCAGCTTCCGACCAGAAGGGTGCTCCAGGAGAAAGCAGAGAGAAGGGGAAGTTTTGAAAGTTTCCAGACCCGGAACATCAGGAGCCATGAAACGCTTGAGGATAGCCGGCCCAAAGTTGACAGGGTTGATCATCTTCACAACCACCGTCTCCCTTCCTTCTGGCAACGAAACAACAGGAGCTTTGAGTGACATGATGACGCTTCGTTTGTGAGGTTTCGAATGTGCAGTATGAGACGTTTCTGGAATATTGGTAAATGGTAAGGAACCTTTGTCTAAATTTGATCAGGTCTCGTGTACGCAATCATTTGTTCGGGTCGTTTAATGGTATCATGGAAAAGCTCGCCGTCAACAAGGAGCCAGAAAAGAACCACAGAAAGATCTGCCGGCCCCTCAGTAGCACCGAGCTATGGCCTTGCGGGGGAGAATTTCCAAGTTGTTTACGGGCGCTTTCGGCGGTCGGTTACCCCTAAGCGGTGTAGTTGCTCCCCTACACTACAAGGTTTCTTGTGGCCGGTAACCCGTCTTGAATTACCGAAGTGCCGTGTCAGTGAGACAGCCACCCAGTTCAACGAGTGCCACGCTGTGATTCAGACCCCCGGGATTAGGGACCACGTTCTCGATGCAAGCCGGCTGATCCAGCGTCCTTGCCCAGTCAACTATTCCTGCCTGCATTGCAGTTTGCTCATGAAGAAGTCTCGTTAGCTCGCGGTTCCCCGGATTACAGGACGCGCTAAGTCAGGCCTGCTTCTTTTATAACATTGACTTGGTTTCCCTCGTATGATGTGGCCATCTCTTCGGGATCCTACAAGTCGACATCCGAGTTCAAGTTTCAGCAAACATGTCTGATCTCGCCAAGTCTGCAGAAAGTGTTCAGCAAGTGGAGCGACCAGATGGTATTGCAGAAATGAAGCCGAGCGCTACTGTTGACACTGTCCACAACGACGAGGCACTCAAGGTGCTCGAAGGCTACACCGGCGACTTTGAATGGACAAAGAAAGAAGAGAAGAAACTCAGAAGAAAGATAGATTGGAGATTGATGCCAGTGCTATGCATGACATACGGTCTCCAATATTATGACAAAGCCATGCTTTCGCAGGCGGTAAGCAAACACTCGTGCAATCCATTGGGCCTCTAGTTCTTGTTTTGCATCAAGCCACTGACTTGCGGTTTGACAGGCTCTCTTCGGATTGCGAACCGACTTGGACCTGACAGTTGGGGATCGATATTCCATGTCGGCCGCCATTTTCTACCTCGGATTCATCGTCGGTGCCTACCCAACCATGATTCTGGCCCAACGATTCCCCATCGAGCGAGTCGCCTCGGTCATTGTCACTCTCTGGGGCCTCACCCTGTTACTGACGACCGTATGCACAAATTATCGTGGCCTTTACGCCCAACGGTTTTGTCTTGGGCTACTAGAGAGCGGTATCAGTCCAATGTTCATGCTCATTGTCGGAAGTTGGTACAAAAAGAACGAGCAAGCCATGCGAATGGGGTATGTTAACCACCTGCACCATAGTCTTGAGGAGAGTTTACGGTTGTACTAACGGACATTCGAACATAGTATCTGGTACAGCTGCACGGGCTACGTTTCGATATTCTCTCCACTGATCAACTATGGTTTCGGCAAGCTCAACGGCGGAGTCTCTTCATGGAGATACATGTTCTACTTTGCCGGGTCGCTGACAATTGTCTGGGGTCTTCTCCTGTACTTTGTCCTTCCTCCCGACCCCATTCGAGCAAAGGGCTTCAACGACAGAGAACGATATATCTTGGTTGCACGGTTGCGGAGTAACAACTCGGGCGTGCGCAACACTCACTACAAGATGGAGCAAGTTGGCGAGCTGGGTCTTGACATCAAGTTTTGGTTGGTCTTTGCCATTGCATTCCTCTGCATGATTGCGAATGGACCCATCTCGACATTTGTTCCCATCATCATCAACGGCTTCGGATTCAGCACTCTTAACTCCCTTTTGCTCACTATCCCAGCGGGTGCATATGGAGGCACTGTGCAACTCCTCATGCCTTACCTGGCATACAAATTCAAGAATTGCCGAACCTGGATTGTGTTTGGTGCACAGATGGGAACAACTCTCGCTGCTCTTCTGCTGTGGCTACTGCCGAGGTCTGCCAAAGGGGCTCTTCTCTTTGCGGCCTACATCTTGCCGTCCGTCGGAGGAGGATATGCCGTTCTTATGGGTCTTCAGATTGCCAACACCTCAGGTTACACGAAACGTTCAATTGCTTCGTCTGGCCTCTACATTGGATACTGCCTCGGTATGTCAAGCCTGTCTTTTTCGTGGCCACGATTCCACGAGGACTAATCCCCCGAACAGGCAACTTTGTCGGCCCTTTGGTCTTCCGGAAGGAAGATGCGCCCAACTATGCCCCTGGCTTCATCGTTGTTGTGATTACGTCTCTAGCTGCGGGAGTGCTCGGTCTCGTTTATCGATTTGTCTGCATCTGGTACAACAACAAGCGTGACAAGGCCGGTATCATGGAGGGCTTTGACCACGCCTACGAGGACTATCTCACCGATATGAAGGTACGTTGGCCCAGGTTTTTCAAAGTGTTTGACAATGCTGACCAAGTTGCAGAACCCCCAGTTCAGATATATCCTCTAGGTGGATAATGTATGGTCGTGATTTTATCGCGGAGCGTCGGATACTTGCCTTCTGCTACCTTTGTTATTTCGACGTGCTGGTCGTTGGGCTGGAGGAATGGAACAGAACGTAGTTAAGTCAGAATTATTCAAGTAATTTCGTATACCTAGTACCGAGTTTCCTAATGAAACCTTCACTCTTTGGGCCTTTTGCAATTCCTGTCCAGTCATCAAAGAAAGTTTACTTAAATAGTCTAACCTCTTCAAGGATGAGTTCACTGCGGCCATCAAGTAAGCTCCCATGTAGGTCGCTGAGCGGCAGAATCAGCATTAAGGAAGAGCTGAACAGTAGAATGAAGTAGCTAGAGAAGGAAATACGATGAAATTCAAGGTATGTGTTCCAGGTATCCGGCTCACAAGGCTCACGTGGCAGCTTGAGTGAGAAGCCAGGAATTGGCGGTTCTGTCGGATTGTCTCTGCTGGGACCACGGCCACCAACCACCCAACTAAACCCCACGACTTGGCAACGCCATCCTTGATGTGGAAAGCCACGTACGAATCGCATCTTGCTTCCTGGCCCCATGGACCCAATG